GGTAAAACTTGTTTGTACTCTTTGTGAATTCCGGTGGTGAAAAGTGCAGTTAGAATATGGATAGGTTTGGATTTTTTTTTTCATCACTCACTTCGCAACCAACACCAGCAGCACCACACAACCGCACAAAATACCAGCAAACAACTTGCGCAATGCAATTTTCACCATGCTTGTTCTTGCATGGGTTCTGTCCTGTGTCATGAATGAAATGAGGGAAACATACAGTAGATGTGTTGGCCAATTTTTTCATAAGGTTCGGTTGCGTTCTTGGTCATAAAAACTTGTTTGTACTCTTTGTGAATTCTCCTGATGAAAAGTGCAGTTAGAATATGGATAGGTTTGGATGGTTGTTTTCCCTCACTCACTTCGCAACCAACACCAGCAGCACCACACAACCGCACAAAATACCAGCAAACAACTTGCGCAATGCAATTTTCACCATGCTTGTTCTTGCATAGTTTCTCTCCTGTTTTCCATGCTAAAAGAGACACATACAGTAGATTGTGTTGGCCAAAGTTTTCAATAAGGTTGGTTGGTACGGTAAAATTTGTTTGTTTTCTTTGTGAACTCTGGTGGTGAAAAGTGCAGTTAGAATATGGATAGGTTTGGATGGTTTTAGTTTCATCGCTCACTTCGTAACCAACAAGCAGTACCACACAACCGCACAAAATACCAGCAAACAACTTGCGCAACGCAATTTTCACCATGTTTGTTCTTGCATGATTTCTGTCCTGTTTTCCAACATGCTGAAAGATACACATACAGCAGATTATGTTGGCCAAAGTTTTCCCGAGGTCGGTTGGTACGGTAAAACTTGTTTGTTTTCTTTGTGAATTCTGGTGGTGAAAAGTGCAGTTAGAATATGGATAGGTTTGGATGGTTTTTTCCCTTCACTCACTTCGCAACCAACACCAGCAGCACCACACAACCGCACAAAATAAAATACCAGCAAACAACTTGCGCAATGCAATTTTCACCATGCTTGAAGTCAAGGACTTCAAAAGCACCCCAATCAATAAAATGTGACTACTGTGTTGTATCTTTTGCAGTACCGTATTCTTACAACTCCTGTGTGGTTTTTCTGCAGTTAGAATACGCCGACACAATATAGAGACACAATAACAAAGTCAATTTCCATTTGTGAGATTACATGTCTTGAAGTATGGTACAGTACAGTATCTGGAAGTAAATGTTGTCTCCAGCAATTGAATCAACCAAATGTGATTGTATCACATTCTTGCAACACCTGTGGTCATTTCCTGCAGTTAGAATACAGGTAAACGCATCATTTGGTCTTGCTTCATTGAAGTCCGGAGCATGATCTTTGCGGCGCGACGAACATGATATCGGTTCTTCTGACATCAGTGGCCATATTCTAAGTGCATGGGCCCATATTCTAAGACCAAGGTTTTCGGCTTAGCTCCGAAAACCCTATACCCCGAAGAGCGGCTTAGCTCAGCTAAGCAAATCTTAAGGTTTTATATTCTAACTGTTGGTCCGTCATAGTATGTATGTATGTATGTATGTATGTATGTATGCCTGTATGTATGTTGTCTTCTTTAGTGTGGGATCCTGATTAGTGGGTGGATCCTGATTAGTGGGTGGATCCGCTATTGTGTAAAGTTTTTCCAAAATAATTCAAGATCTGTGGAATTGATTGGGGGTGTCTCTATTGTGTCGCTATTGATTGGTGGTAATTTGTTCAGTTTTTGTTTTTATTATTTTCCATTTTTGTTTTTTAAAATCTATTATCTTTTTTCACTTTTTTTAACTCATGTTTCATATTTTTTGTTACTTAATTACTATGTTTCATTTTTTTAGTTTAAAAAACAGTTATTTTTCAGTTTTTTCATGAGCAATATTGATCCTAAATAATATGTTTGTTGTGGGGGTCCTCTATTGTGTCCAGCTGTTGTCTGAAGAAACAATTTATTAAGGTTAATTATAACCAATCAGAAATAATTAATCAGTTGAAAGTAAATTGAAATCTATTGAAAGTAAATTGAAATCAATTGAAAGTAAATTGAAATCAATTGAAAGTAAATTGAAATCAATTGAAAGTAAATTGAAAATCAATTGAAATAAATTGAAGGTAAATTGAAATAAATTGAAAGCAAATTGAAATCAATTGAAAATCAATTGACAGTAAATTGAAATCAATTGAAAATCAATTCAAATTGAAAGTAAGTTGAAATCAATTGAAAATCAATTGAAAGTAAATTGAAATTCAAAGTAGATTGAAATCAATTGAAAATCAATTCAAATTGAAAGTAAATTGAAATCAATTGAAAATCAATTGAAATCTATCAATTTTTTTTGCTCACTCATTATATATTCAATACCTGACACTTGAAAATTTCTAAATTAAAGAGGATCCCAGAATTGTTTGGGGGGGTCCCGATACTAATCAGGATCCAACATTACTTATATAGATATAGTTCTATGTACATCCAGCAAAATGGTCACTTATGGTGATCTTGAAACCTCCAAAAGTTGGAAGATATTTTTCAAAAATTCCCGCCATCAGCAGTAGACACCTCCACTTTTTTCACAGGGCGCTGCTTTCCTCTCCACCATCCTCCACGCCCCATGACTCACATGAATTTCGCCATTGGATCATCTGCCCGTTGCCGCGTTAAGCGGTACGCCTGACCGAGGAAAAGGTGTCCAGGAGTTGGGGCACCACGGTCAGTTCACCTCCACCGGACTTATCAAACTTGGGGCACCAAGTCACAAAGTCCTAGAACTCCTAAACTAATTAATCCGCCAGTTTTGTTGCATCATTTCAAGGACTACAGTAGATATAGTAGATTCCAAAATTTGAACCACAAAGGTTCAACTTAGTAACTTGGTGAAGTGCCCTCACCCAAAACATGGCGCCCGCTGGCTCCCCAGCCTCGTACTCTTCAGGGCTGATCTCACCAGCCAGGTTTTCTCCAGCCAGGGAGCCGTACCCCCGATTGCGTTCCTGGGAGCTGGGTGTTCACAGCCCTTGTGGATCATCCCCATGGATCCCATCTTCGGCCCGGTTCACTGCTTGGCTATCCGTTCTGGCCATCCGTTTTTCTAGCAATCGAAAATATTTCTTGCTTGGTTTGCTTAGTTGGTTATCCATGTACGGATGGATGTATGGATGTATGTAATGTAATGTAGTTCAATGTAATGTAATGTAAGTGTAAATGTAAGAACAAATGTAAATGTAAATGTAAATGTAATGTAAATGCAATGTAATTGTAATGTAAATGCAAATGGAAATGTAATGTAAATGTAATGTAAATGTAATGTAAATGTGATGTAAATAATGTAAATGTACTGTAAAAGTAAATGTAAGAATAAATGTAAATGTAAATGTAATGTAAATGCAATGTAATTGTAATGTAAATGTAAATGCAAATGGAAATGTAATGTAAATGTAATGTAAATGTAATGTAAATGTAATGTAAATGTAATGTAAATGTAATGTAAATGTAATGTAAATGTAATGTAAATGTAATGTAAATGTAATGTAAATGTAATGTAAATGTAATGTAAATGTAATGTAAATAATGTAAATGTACTGTAAAAGTAAATGTAATGTAATGTAAATGTACTGTAAAAGTAAATGTAAATGTAACATGTAAAATGTAAATGTAAATGTAATGCCATGTAATGTAATGTATGTAATGTATGTAATGCATGTATGTATGTATGCATGTATGTATGTAATGTAATGTAATGTATTGTACCGTAATGTAATGTAATGTATGTATGTATGTATGTAAGTATGTATGTCTGCATGTCTGTAAGTGTGTAAGTGTGTAAGCATGTAAGTATGTCAGTATGTAAGTATGTAAGTATGTAAGTATGTAAGTATGTATGTATGTATGTATGTATGTAATGTTTTTATGTATGTATGTATGTATGTAATGTATGTAATGTATGTAATGTATGTAATGTTTTTATGTATGTATGTATGTATGCATGCATGCATGTATGTATGTGTGTGTATGTATGTAATGTATGTATGTCTGTCTGTATGTATGTATGTATGTATATATGTATGTATGTATGTATGTATGTATGCATGCATGCATGCATGTATGTATGTATCGTAAGGTAATAAAATGTCATGTCATGTAATGCCATGTAATGCCATGTGATGTCATGTAATGTCATGTGATGTCATGTAATGTCATGTTATGTCATGTTATGGCATGTAATATCATGTTGTGTCATGTTCTGTGATGTTATGTGATGTTATGTGATGTTATGTGTTGTTATGTGGTGTTATGTGATGTTATGTGATGTTGTGTGGTGTTATGTGATGTTATGTGATGTTATGTGATGTTATGTGATGTTATGTGATGTTGTGTGATGTTATGTGATGTTATGTGATGTTATGTGATGTGATGTGATGTCATGTAATGTCATGTAATGCCATGTAATGTCATGTATTGCCATGTCATGTTATGTCATGTTATGTCATGTTATATGGTGTTATGTGATGTCATGTAATGTCATGTAATGTCATGTGATGTCATGTGATGTAATGGTATGCTATGTAATGTTATGTAATGCTATGTAATTTTATATAATGTTCTGTTTTGTAATGTTATGTAATGTTTTGTAAGGTTCTGTAATGTTTTGTAAGGTTCTGTAATGTTTTGTGAGGTTATGTAATGTTGTGTAATGTTAAGTGATTTTATGTTATGTTATGTTCTGTTATGCAATGTTCTGTAATGTTATGTAATGGTACGTAATGTTTTGTATTGTTATGTAATGTTATGTATGCATGCTTGCATGTATCCCATGATAAGTCTCCCCAGTTGATCAGAAATGGGTTGTGTAAACCCTAAAAATTGGGTTTATTATTGCTTTACTAACATTATACAGATACATATATATAATACATACATCGCATAAAAATACGATTTTCCCGTCATTCTCTCACTTTCAGACGCACTCCCAAGATGACTATCACAGATCGTCCCACATCGTGCCCTCACCGGACCGCCCGAATCAGCCCGCACCATGATTTCACCAGGGTGCATCATCCAGCGTGAGGCGGCCCTGGAGTGTCAATTTTGGATAGTCATGAGTCATAAGATACACTACTGGTTGGTGGTTTCAACCTCTGTATAATACGCATATAATATTGTGTTCCCGTAACAATCGAAAATGGCATTATGTTAATGCTCACACAAAAGGCAAAGAGTAAACAGCACCATCCTTTTCTTCACACGCTAGGATGGTACCTGTGCGGCTGCCACCTCAGGTATGTGACCTATGTCACCAGTGTTAGACCACCTGCCATGCACTTGGCAAAACAAGTGGTGGTGTCATCAAAACCAACCCACCACCAAACGCAGCCGCACCCACCGGACTCCCACATGGGATCATGGGTGGGTTGGGTGGGAGAGCAGAAAGCCCCCCTCCCTCCTAACCGCTTCCAGCTGGCTCAGAGGGAGGGAGTCTTCCAGTCTGGAAAGATTTGCGGCAAAAGTTGAAAGAGAGCAAAAACTGAATGAAGCGATAGGCGCTTCTCTGGGGTGAAACCTACCGGCTCAGGATGAGTCAGTTCGTCGGCCCATTGGTTGTGATCTCTTTTGCAATGATTTGGTGCCAGCTGAGCTCCTTTGTCATAGGGCAAGTTCACCAATTGCATCAGGAAGGCTGCAGTCGGCATCTCCCTGGTGTTCTGGTTCAGCAGGGCAAAGACGTTGCCCTGATTGTCCGAGATCAGGGCCAGTTGGAGACGTAGCAACGTTGAGTTGCCACGTTGGATGAGCAGGGCTACCAGTATCAGGGTACCCAACATTTCCAATTGAAACCACCAAACAGAAGCCTTGTCCGGGGCTTCCACGTCTGAAATCCATCCCCCAACCCATGGGCGTGCTACTTTTACGTCCTTCGTGGTGCTTGCATCACTAGCACCCCACCAGTTGGAGGTTCCCACATAGGGAGATGGTTGCTTGTAGGGGATGGAGAAGATCATCTTCAGCATCTTCGCGAAAAGGGTGACTAGCTTCGGAGGTCTCCCCGAAGTCTTACATGCCACTTTCCATGCCAAAATGGTTGGAGAAAGGGTCTTGAAAGAGGGCATACACTTGTTGCCCAACTGATTCTTCCAAGTGCTTTTTCAATGGCCTTGGAGGTAAAGCCTTCTCCCTCCTGGAGTTCAAGATTTCCATGATGATGTCATGCTTGTCCTCAGCCATGCGTACCATCAGGGACTTTGGGTTGACTACAAAGCCCAGCCAGGTGTTGATCTCTGAAAGCACTGTTTTCTTCCAACTCAGCGGCACTCCAAGGGCTAAGTAGCTTGCCAGCATGGTGGTTGCCCAGAGGTTCGCAGTGCCTGCCCTAAGTATCCAACAGAAGTCGTCCACAAAGACGAATCCCCTGTCAACCTGGAAGAAAATCATATATGTCAACCTGAGAAGTAAAGCTGCCATCCTTCCCCAGTATAACTGTGCCGGAGCCATGCCATAGGTGCCCACTTTGTTTATTTTGATCCTGTATTTTTTGGTTTGGCTTGGTTTGCAGGGGGAATGGAACATCTATATATTCCCGCAGTGTCTTGATGGTTTTATTGTAGATGCTTCCATTTCTGCACAGCCCCTTTTAGGGGTTGCGCCATGTATTCCCAGGTTTTGGGGATTGGTTGGGTTTACAGGTGTTCACACGGGAATGGAGCATCTATTCCCGTAGTGTTTTGGTGTAGATCCTCCCCTTTCTGCATTTCCCTTCATCTATACCCAATCCTCTTTAAAGCGCCCCTTACCGTCCGCTTACACATCTATTCTCACATATTCTGACCCTGGAGTTCATGGCGTGCGGGGACCCACACTCAAGAATTGGTGCGATCTATTGTTATTCCTTTTTGGGGCATTGTTTGCAAGACTTTTCAAGAGCAACTGGATGGCACTGTCCCAGGTGGTTGCGCCATCTATTTAGTAGTGAAAAAATCATGTCCCCGAAAAGCTTTTGTTGAACACACACACCCCTTACCTTTTCAACGTTTTGATGACCGAAATGTGCAGTCCCGGAAGAAGGGATTTAAATTAAAAATGGGGTAGATGGCGCAATTTGGCCCTTTTTGCACATGTAGGGTTGCGCCATCTTCGGGCACATTTGCTGTTTCGGGTACATATCGGATTGATTTTTTTCAATACGAAATAGATGGCGCAACCACCTCTGAGAAAGTAGGTCAGAGCCATGCGCTCTGAAAATTGAGTAACCTTCTCGAACTCCACCAAGACCTTAGTATCGCTCCCCGTCCCCTGGCCGCTACCAGCTGGCCTAGCTTGGGTACTGACACCTTGGTCCACAGGCTTGTCCTTAGTGGCCAGCTGTTGCATGGCCTCTCAACTCAGCAAGAGACTTCTGGAGGTCCACCTTAGTGGCATTCTGGAGCATTGCATAGCCATCCGGGCTCGCCCCCGAGAGAGTCAGGCTGGCCGCTTCCTCCTCGTTCTTGTGGGTCTCCGCAACTTGCCCCGCCATCTGGTAATCTTCGGCGGTGATCTCAGTGAGGTGGTCCACCAACTGGAAGCTTCCTTCGGACATCATCTCAGAGTCCAAGGTTGATGGTGGGACATCCACCTCCATTGCATCAGGCTTTGAATCAGCAACACTCGGGGCTTGGCTACGCCCTCCGATCTGTGCTCGTGCCTCATCCATCCCGGCACGTAGGATTTCCGCAGCGCTTGCACCAGACGCAGCTGCGTCAAAGGACTTTGGAGCCATAGCTGAAAAGCGAAAGGCAAAAGCGAATGCGAGAAAGCGAGTTTCAATTTTTTCAAGGTCTGTTGACCCAAGCTTGAGCCAAAATGGCCAGGCCATTTTGGCAATATGATTCCGACAACACATTGCTTGCTTTCCGCAAGCTCCACGCAAGTACAATATATATATATATATCTGGTTGGTGGTATACCTACCCCTCTGAAAAATATGAGTAAGTCAGTTGGGATGATGACACTCCCAACTGAATGGAAAGTCACGAAAGCCATGTTCCAAACCACCAAACAGCAAACAATGAAGAGGCATTCATGGGAGGACTCCAGAACACACTTCTGAAAAAGGCACTGTCAGCACTGTCAATCTGCCGGAAAAAAATGGCTCTCAATCGGACTGGGAGTCGCATAGAAATGGTTAGACTTCCATTCCCGTATCATGACACCTCAAATGGACCCCAACATAGCTATTGAAAATGGCCCAGTCGAAATAGTGGAATTACCCATTAAAAATGCTGATTTTCCATAGTTACGTTAGTTTACACATCCACTACATTCCACCAGATTTCGATGGGACCCATGAAAATTCGAAGCAAAGAACCCCTGGTGATCGAAGCATGGGTTGTCCCCCAGTTTCGGGGTTTTGTTGCATGTCTGGGGCTGGGTTTGAACCACGGGAATTCACCACTTAGCCCAAAAACAGGTGATGCCGCAACGCCTAACAATCTAACATTTGGAAAAAGTCAAAAAATGTGGAGGTGTCCTACAATGGGGGTACCCCCATATCATACGCTTTAATAGAAGCTTCCATTGTAAACTATCCATTTTAAGGATCCCCCATTTTAAGAAACCCTCATGTGAGGTGATCGAAGCCCCTTCTCTGAGAAACTCCGCGGGTCGGCCTCTTTCTTCTCCAACTTCCTTGACAAGCTGGGCTTCATGTGTTGGGATAGCAACGGTTTGAAACCACCATGGCTTTTATCCAAATGGATCAAATGGCTGTGTCTGACCAGGAAATTTGCCAAAAAAAAATCACCATTGTCGTGGATGCTTCCATCCCCAAACACCCCCTGGAGTGGATTCTCGACCACGGCTAAACTATGGGATGTCCTCTTAAAATTCCCTGTTTTGCTAGACCCAATGCCATAAACCTTCATTTGGGGATTGTTCAAACCATCCATTTCTGTAAAATTCTTTCAGATTCTGGATGGCTTATTATTGCGTTGACCCAGAGCTGCGCTAAATTCCCGCGAATTTTTGCTGGATCAATTCCCAGGGCACCAGCAGAAGCTGCTTGGCTTCCTGTGATGATTCAATATGACTTGCCGATATATGTGATCTCTGTTGATCTAGGCAATCAGCACCATTTTTGTTCGATCATGTTCCCACTTTCATACACTGAAAGCGCTATTTTGTTCATGGTGGATCCAAAAAAGATGCCCCAATTAAGTGAGATGAGGTCTGGTACCTTGGAACTGGGGCGGTTCCACGGTTCACCGTTCAACCACAGGGGTATGTCGGAAAATACAAAAATCAAACGTGGGAAATCCCCAAACTCAATGGAGATTGAAGTGGGAAGATCATCTAGCGCAAATGGTGGATGTTCGCAGGACATGCTCACACCGGAGAGATTTACTCTCCAGAAAATATCCCCATTATGCTCAAAAACACCGAGATGTTCATCGATTTCCCCCTTTTTTCAGTCGGTAGAATCCCCATTGGCCGAGGATCTGCTTCTTTTTCGCCTGCTGAAGGGCCTCGGCCAGCTTCTTCTCATCCAGCTCTTCCGCTTCCTGGTGGAGCTGATGGCGGAGATCCGACGTCGGAAAACCATGGAAAACCAGCCATTTCTAGTGGGGAGAAATGTCAAAAGTGTCAAAAGCTTGGGAAGATCATGGGCCAACCATACCGGTTTCGATGGATTGGTGTTCTTGGAACATTCTACGAAACTTCAACCATGGATTTAGTGGATTTAGCATGGCTTCACTGAGGAAACTGGTGAATGGATGTCCCTCAAGCGATGACGGCATTGTGGGTCCCGAAGCTCGTACAGATGTTGGTCAAGTTTCGAAAAATTGGGTCAGGTTCATAGTAATTCAATGAGGCATGTCACGTTTTCAAAAGGTTTTCAAAGTTCCAAACTTTTTTTTGGACACGTCGCGAAGTTTCGTTTCTAGTGCACGGTATTCTAGTCATATCCATGAGACATTTCTCCTCAAAAACCATGGCCCCTCCGCTCCTCGAGGACGTGTCCAAAGGCTGAAGTCCTGGTTCTTTCGAGATGGGAGGGATGTACTAATCATATCTGGGAAACTCCCAATCTAAAGCAGATGATTTGGGGGTACCCGCATTGTAGGAAACCATATATATAATTGTAAATATATGTATATCTATAATTATACATATATACATAATTATATTATATACATAATTATATAATTATATATATATATCATTGGCTATGTTTTCTGATATTTATGGGATGATATTGTGGGATGAGATGATGGGATTTCGAAAGGCACACGTGTTTTCACTTTCTGGGATGATGTGTTTTTGTAGGATATCTGACCATTTTTGGTGACTGGAATATTTTATGGACTTTTTTTACGGGATGTTTCATGGGATCTATATAATAAAACAATTGCTGGCTCCCACAATTTAGTAAAGCTTTAAACCTGAATTGGTGGGTAATTGGGTCATGACTCCAAAGTCCCAAACATATCATCAACGGTGGAGCCAGTCCGGGACACCATGGTGGACACCGGTTTTTCATGGCCTCATCTCGTTCAGCTTGCTGACGGGCGCAGAAGATGGGAGGCTGCCACCGGCTTCACCGGCTTCACCAGCCGCATCTGCCAGGGCTTCAGGAGCTTCGACGCCTGCGAAAAACTTGTGGCCCAAAACTGAGTCGAAGATTTTATGGATGGGAACACCACATCAATTTGCTGTTGATCCATCCAATTTCTGGGGCAAAGTTTGAGCCATCCAGGGCCATCTCATTCAAATTCAGAGGGACAAAAACACGCACTCTGGACGCGTCTGGTGGCATCGGAAAAATGGACAACTTGTAAACATCTCCTGCATCTAAGAGCTTATTTCAGAAGCGCCTGTTTCGGCCCTTTAAAACCATCTCAACCACATTGCCACCGCGAGCCTCAATGATAGGAGATCTTTTGTTGTTATGATAGGAGTGGCATAGGAGTGGCATCTGGGATGAACAGTAGAGGGCTTACCCCACAGTAAATTCACAAAACGAGATGGAAAAATCTATGAAAACCATCCAAAATGATCCTTTCCAAGGGTTTCCCGAGGGTCTCCCATCTTTCTACCCCTGGTCCATCCCAGCCTTCTTCAGCCTCCGCTGGTGCCTGGAAGCTGTGCTCTATATCAAAATTGTGTTAAGCGTCTGAAACACATCAGAGATAGAAAATTAGAGATAGTGGTTCACTCCCGATTCGAGGAAAACAAAAAGCACTCAGCTCGGTGAAGCAAGCAAATCCATCCGAGTCTGACTTTGATTGGTTTTTTGCTGCTATCAGTTGACTCTCGTCGGATTTTGAAGGTCCCAAAAAATGGATAAAAATCTGAAAGCGTTTCGTAGAGCAACAAATCCTGGACCCCTGATCTGTTTGAAACGATGGAGCCCTGAGATTCAACGACCCCCGACGTTGATTCGGATGAGGATGATATCTGTTCCCAGTTGAAAGTAGCAAACCATACAATCATCAGCAGCTGATATATATGATATATATGATATATATATATATATCATCATCATCATCATCATCAGTCGTCGTCATCGTCATCATCATCATCGTCGTCGTCGTCATCATCATCATCGTCGTCGTCATCATCATCATCATCAGTCGTCGTCATCGTCATCATCATCATCATCATCATCATCGTCGTCATCGTCGTCATCATCATCATCATCATCGTCATCATCATCATCATCATCATCCTCATCATCATCATCATCCTCATCATCATCATCATCATCATCAGTCGTCGTCATCGTCATCATCATCATCATCGTCGTCGTCGTCGTCGTCATCATCATCATCGTCGTCGTCATCATCATCATCATCAGTCGTCGTCATCGTCATCATCATCATCATCGTCGTCATCGTCGTCATCATCATCATCATCATCCTCATCATCATCATCATCATCCTCATCATCATCATCATCATCATCATCCTCATCATCATCATCATCATCCTCATCATCATCATCATCCTCCTCCTCATCATCATCATATATATATATGAAAGTAGCAGACCATACCATCATCAGCAGCTGATATATATGATATATATATATATCATCATCATCATCATCATCATCACCATCACCATCATCATCATCATCATCATCATCATATATATATATATTATAGATATATAACCATTTCGACACGCGATGACATTTCCTGATCTCTGCAGCTTCCAGGTCATCCAAAGGGCCTCCCCAGCCTCCAACTCACCTTTCTTGATGGGAACGCAGTAGGCATTCTTCATGGTTTGGTGACAACAGGCAAAGCCCCACCTTGAGAAAAACACGTCGGACACAGCGTCACCATGAACGCGTTAAGTTGATAAATATAACTAACATAACTCCAAGAAGCAGAAGTTCATGGGGGTAATCAACCAACTTCTCACTCTATTTCTGTGGACTTTCTCTTTTCTTGGCCTTTTTTTGGCCGATGCTGCCCTCCCGTTGTGTGATATCCCAATTGACCAACTCAGCAGAGCACAAATGCCTCACCCAACGACTAACCAACATCTGGTCGTACTGTTCTGTTATGTATTTAATCTAGAAAATAAATTAAATATATTATGCTCCAACCAACTCCACTTGACATGTCTGTTTCTTTTCCGCATTTGTATGAATCCCCCATGTTTGACCCTTCAAGCTCCATTTTCCGCTATAACAACCATCAACCAATGGCAATTTCTGGATGACACCATGCTGAAATCTTCGGTCACTTCACCTTCCGGTGGCTGCGTCGAACCATGAGCCCCAGGTAGAGGTGTGGTTCCCTGGCAGCTCTTCGAATCCATAAATTCATGGGGAGTTCTTACCAAGAAAAGCTGGATGGATCAAGGCTGTGATTCTTCCATGTTGCACATGTGAATTGTGAAGATGAAGATTCAAATCATTCAATTGAGATTGCCGTTTGGTTATTGAACATAGCCATGGTATAGATGGCCCATTGAAATAGATGGTTTACCCATTAAAAATTGTGATTCTCCATGGCTATGTTAAATAACCAGAGGGTAAGGGAAAATCTGAACCGCAAACCATTGTCTGAAATACTACTTTGGGGGTTCCCGCAGATTTTCTCTTCCAAGTGTGGCAGGAAGATCTTCCACCATTTTTACAGAGGGATCCGAAAAAAATTGCCCACAAATCTCTGGCTGGGTTATGGGATTTGTACTATACAAGATTTGTAGTTTCAACCATTTTCATAGGCACGTTGAGCCATTTTTTGGACTGGAGAAAACTGGATGATTCATATATTCTGAAGACTCAACAAAAAATGAAAATCTCTCGAGTCCTGTGGCTTTCAATTTACCAAATCGGTTTATATCGCTTTCACGTGGCCATCAGTGTCGTGGAATGTGTCATTGACCAGGTCCCAAGATGGTTTGATCACGCAATGGCTTTGTCTGGAAATAGGCGATCAAAATCTAGCGATAAAAAAAAAACATGGGGATGGGTCAAAACCCTGGTACCCCTGGTGAACATCAAAATAGCTGGTAAATGGATGTTCATCCCCCTAAAAATGGTATGTATAGGTATTGATCCATAGCCACATGTTCGGACAAACCCAAAAATGCCCCCCAACCAAAAAAATGTGGCCGCCTAAGTCCCAAATCCAGCGTACCTAGCTTCACAAAAATCATCATGACACCACGTGGGTGTTTACAAAAATGGAATGCACGAAAATCCAACGGTCTAAACCGTCATTTTCCGGTGAATTTGGGGCTGTTTTCCCTCTTAAAATTAAGGCCACACCCTGGGCCTATGAGAACATCCTCCTCGTACTTGGACTTCGTCAAAGCCCTTTCCGAGCCCTTCAAGACTCGACCGTCTCGGGCATACCTCAACAACCCACTGGTACCGTTCGCAGGGTGTTAGATGGAAAATCATCCGTTCTCCCTACTACCCCCCAATCGAAGCCCTACAGTACTGGATCTGCTCTTTTCAGGATTGGGGGATGGGATCGTAAACTGTCTGTGTCTTTGGTGGCCCATGGTTGCACCACGGTACTGCTGTTGAAAATGACAGGGTTGAGACATCTGAATGACAAATGGGTTAAGAAGTGGAAGACCCACTGCCAGAGCTGGAGATGTCCATTAGGTCCCCAATATATATATATAGACACACATATTATTTAATGTATATATATATAGTATATTGTATATTGTATATTATATATTATATATTATATATTATATATTATATATTATTATATTATTATATATTATATATTATATATCAGATATTACATATTATATATTATATTATATATATATATTACATATTACATATTGCATATTACATATTACATATTACATATTGCATATTACATATTACATATTACATATTACATACTACATATTACATATTACATTATAATGATATATTAATACATATTAGATATTAGATATTATATATTATATACTATATACTATATATTATATATTATATATTATATATTATATATTATATTTATATTATATATTAATTATATATTAATTATCATATATTATATATTATATACTGAATATCATATATCATATATTATATATACACGTGTTACTTTTGAATGACTCTTGAGAAGAATCGCCATGTTACATCCATACCCATGGCTCTTGGTCCCCTGCGGGTTGAAGAGTGAATTCCCAGGCCCCAAACCCCCATTAAAATGCCGATAACAATGGATTACTGCTCCAAACTGCCCTATTCACCACTGGATCATGTTCCAAGAGAAACCATGGGTTTTTTCCACCTTTTTTGTAGGTTTGCCCTGTGGTAGATTCTGGGGCCCTCATCCCTGAGCCCCGCACTCCACGTAGTTCTCATTCTGCGAGAAGATCAACTCGCGTGGCGCTTCCATGTGCTCTTGGCCCCCGTACCTGCTGAGGAAAGGGCCATCCCAAAATCACCCGGATGTGTTTTTACTGCAAGGGATGCCTCTTGTGGCAACATAACCAAAAGAAAATCAGAGTGTTTTTCAAATATGGCAGTGAAAAAACACAACATGATTTTCCGCATATCAACTATCGTCTTATGAATACACTATCGTTCAACTATATTCTGCGAATAATATGGAGGCATTCAGAAATCGCTTCTCCGCACATCAACTATCGTCTATGCTGACATTGACATCACCCAGGGAGGCCATCAAAATTCGCCCTGAAATGGTAGGGCCATTGCCGAAAGCCAAGTGAGTTGGTGTTGGCAACCGAAGGCTCATCCCACTTGGTAGCTTGTAACACCAGTTACAAGTGGATTAACCCTACATATTCCACAAATAACCGGGGATACAAGCTACTTAGTATATAAGTGGGATGAGCCAGGAATGGCATTCCAATAAACAAACATCGCACTGAATGAGATTCTGTAGGAGAAGAAGGTGTGCTGCGACAAGTCACATGGCCTGAACTGGTGACATGAAGAAGAGGACTTCCCCAAGTGTCTGGACTTCAGTTTCTCAGTGGCATTCCGCATCTGGGGTGCGGCAACAATTCCCACCAGATCTCGCAAAACGCGATGCATAGCGCACTTGTCCATCAGCTCTTTCTGCTGTTGTTCTTTCAAGTCAGTGGCACGGTTCTGGTAGACCTGAAGCAATCGACAATGAGAGTTGATACCATTGCCTGGTTGATGAATGCTTGCTGAAAACCGGCCTCAAACATCTTAAGTGCTTGGGTCGGCTGCGCTGTGTCGTGGATCTTCTCACCTCAAATGGCGTGGAGTGTCCAACAAGTTGAAAATTCTGATGGTTTCCTCATGAAACACTGCATACTATACATGAATATGTATATAATATATATATAATTACATGTGATGCATGGATTTTGATGGTTTCACCATCCTAAAGCCGGGTTCTTAATGGTCCACCAGCCACTCCATCGCCACGGCCTGAATTCTGAGCTTTCGGGCCATGTTTGTAAGAATCCCAGGCAAAGCACATCAGCTCGGTCAACGACTTCGAATCCCCCGAATGCCTGGGAAACGGGAAGCCTGGAAGCCCGGAAGCCGATGGAAGCCCAGGCTGGCCCGGGAAACCTGGAAACATCTGGAACCCTGGAACGGAAGCCGATGGAAGCTGCTGAGGTGAAAAAACTGGCGATAGGATCAACCGATCCAACCCGCGATGGATTTCATCAGTGAACAGAAGCCGCCTCCCGCTCCCACCTCAAGAAGTTGTCTCCGCGGAAGGTGGTCCCTTTCTCCTCGTCCTAGCCGCTGCATTGTCCAAAAGGCGCTGTGGACGTCGTTTCTGAAGATGGCATACATGGCAAATCTTAGATACTCTGCAAAAAGAAAGCAGTCTGAGCTGGACATGAAAGATTCCCCCATCAAGATAAATGTGTATGTTAATAGATAAATTAATGAAAAAAAATGAATACCTACCATCCACATCACGGCTGAAACAGCCAAGATAGGAATGATCCCACTCCTTCAGGTGCGCCAGGGGATCTTGACGCATAGACCTGCAGAGCTTTGCTCGTCACTTGTTAAGGCTTCCATTTTTGTGAGCCCAAAACCATAGGCCATCCCCAATGACTTCTTCCAGACATGGGTGAGGAAATAATATATACATATTCTATATTCTATATTCTAAATTCTATATTCTATATTCTATATTCTATATATAAAGTCCATAAAGTTGCCGAGTCGCCATCCCCCATTGCGTATTCCACAGTACAATCTCTCGCCAGGAGTCAGGACTTGAGCCTTCCCCAGTGAGCCTGGATTTGGGATCGTAGTAGGCGGAGTTCACGTCCAAGTTCAGCAAGTACTTAGCCGTGTCTTCTCGTATTCGGAGGTTCCTGGCCAAAATCAACTGAAAAAATGCAGCTGAATCTGGGCGTCTTTGATTTAAAAAAATGCTAATTCACAAAGCAAATCAACCCCAAGATTTCAAGTTGTATGTCAAATCTACAAATTGGAAATTTTAGGGTCTTGCGCAGATGAACAGTAAATCCCTAGTGAGCGTCCCAAACATCTTACAAGAACGGACAACTTTTTGAGATTGTAATTATTTGCTTGCATTTCGGGCGGAATTAATTTATGGAAGCTGCTTTTGACCCCAAGTGCTGCTCTCTCACCCGGTTCACGCTCAATGAAACCCTTAAGTTCGCTCCTGAAACCATGCATTTTTCCGCAAAATACCCATGCAAATCTCTTCAAAATCAAGTTTTTGGAGCCATAAAAAGCCATAAACCATGCATTTCACGGTGTTTTCATGCTGACTCTCCAGCCCTTTTCCCTACAGCGCCCCCCGGTGTTTCCGTTGCGTTTCCGTCGCGTTCTGCCGCGCCTGGTGGTGGTGCGGAGCTTATCATCCTTCGCCGCCACCGTCGAGGTGGACTTGTCAAAGTCCTTGAGCTTCTCGCCCAGGTCCTATGAAGCTGTGGGGTGTCCATGGCTATATATGGGTATAATCTAAATGTACCATAATATATAACACACACATATATATATATATACATACATAATATCTAAATGGGTATAAAATTATAGTATTGGTTTTAGACATAGATTTTTATATGTTATTTAGATTCCATATGTATACTATCTGTATATAAATTTATGAAATACATATTGTCCATAGGGTTTTTATATCTTATAAGATATGCAGATTGAGATTTCATATCTATATTCTATTTATATTATATATATATATATCTATTGCATCCTTTTAGAAGCAACTTATTAGTCTGGCCTGGAGTCTGCAAAGGTGAGAAAACAACTGGTTTCAACCAACAAATCCGCATGATTTCCCTATTATTTCCCTATTAAATTAATTCCCTATATATATCCCTCCAGGTCAATGACCTCGTAAAACTTGGCCTTTTAACTTTGATGATCAGGACCTACTATTACTTGATGGGGACATACTGTGACATACTATTACATGGACTTTTTGGGTGGCGTAATATTTTCAACCAGCTTCGATCAATTTTTCGGTTGGTTTCTGTCAGGATTTTGATGGCTCTGAGTTGTATCATGAAGTCATTTCTGGCAATTAATGATATATCATATATGACAGCTTTACATGCGGGCAAATTTCCCCAATAACCCTGCAGGAAATGATATAAATTTCAGGATAATCACTTCCCTTCACCTACCAAATACCAAATTTTTTTGGTTTATCATTGGGAATCCAGGGCCAGAACCACCACGAATGCATGGTATATGAACTGTCAGGGGCCCAAAATTGCTAGCGTGAACCGAGCGTGGACCGAGCCTGAACCGAGCCTCTAAAGACCTACTATCACTGGCAAAAGACCTACTACTACTAGCAAAAGGCCAACTATTACCGTGAATCGAGCATGAACCGAGCGTGAAACCTTAGGAACCATTTTTTTGTTTGGAAGTTTAGGCAAAATCATACCATTTCTTGACGGGAACCGCCATGAATTTGCTTTGCGAAAGCTCCGGAATGTCAAATTGGAAAGGCCCATTCGGGGCTGTGATCTGAAGGTGATTGAAAAAAATTGTGCTTCCAATCATGCATCAACAGTTTCAAATGGGTTTCAAATCAAATTCAGCATTGAACCGATACAGTCTTCGGTCGTCATTTGTGGCTCTAATACCATAAAACTGTGGGCAGAATAGAGGACAAATGTGGAAAAAAGCTTGGCGACGATGAACGTGAGGGGAAAAAGGGCTGAGCTCTATCAAACCGAGGTAAACCAAAGGTCCTCGCAAAACTTGGTCTTTAGCCAAAGACATCGTTAAACTTGACCTTCCGACTTGAAGAGTATTATTTCCCTATTATGTTCCTATTATTTCCGTATTCTGTCCTCATTATCTCGCTATTAGTTCCCCTATTATTTCCCGATTAGTTTTTTGTTATTTTCCCTATGATTTCCGTATTATTTCCGGATTAGTGTTTTACTATTTCCCTATTATTTGCCTATTATTTTTCTATTGCTATTGATGCTTTTGAAGGACATCTGGGATAGTCATCAAACAAAATCATCATTCCTGTTTGCCCACTTGGGTCCATATCCAACAACCTCAAAATTAAGTTGTCATTCAATCCAAATGAAATAGTAGCTGAAGTGTCTGAAATTCTACCATTCACAAGCCACTTGGGGGTGACACGACCCGATAAGTTGGTGTGTAACCCCTATACGGTCCCAACCTTTGGTGAGTTTGCAGAATAATCACCCACTTAACTTTGGTGCTCAAGATTAATGGGTAGGAAATTGTCTTGGGAATGTATGTTTGTTAGTTTGAGGAGTTTTTTGATTTCTGGCTGTGCCCATTTTCCATGCTGTTTGCAGCTTTGGGAGCCGGAACCTTCCATTTTGAAAGCCATTTGCAATATTTTGGAGCTGGAACCTTCCATTTTGAATGCTATTTGCAACATTTTATCGTTGGAACTGTCTTTTCCGCATGCTATTTGCAGCATTTTGGAGCCGGAACCTTCCATTTTGCTTGCCAGTTGCAACATTTGGGAGCTGGAACCTTCCATTTTGCATGATATTTGCATTTGTTTGCAACATGTTGGAGCTGGAATCTTCTATTTGGCATGCTATTTGCAAGTTGTTGTTGGTTGTTGGTTGTTGTCTGTTAGTTGTGGGTTCTTGTTTGTTTTGCTCTTCTTGTTGCAGTAGTAGTTGTAGCTGCTGTAGTTTTTGTAGTTGTAGTTACAATTGTTGTTGTAATACTAGTTGTTTGGTCGTTGTTGCTGTTGTTGGTTGTTGTCGCTGTTGTGGTTGCTGTTGGTGGAGCCAAGAAACCCGTAAAGCTTTGCAAAACCAGAAACAAACAACATCAACAACAGACGTTTGCGTGGTATTTGCCATAATATATTTTCAGCATTCAACGTCAGCAAACCACGGAGATAGAAGCTGACGAATTTTTGCCAATGGGCTCTGCGACATTAGGAACACAGAGACAACTTCGGTTGTGTTCCTCCTTTGCCGTTGTTGCTCTTTTTTCTCTTGCTGTTCTTCTTATTCTTGCTGCTTTTGTTGCGTTGTTCTCGTGCTTTGTGTTTGCTGCTCTTGTTGTTTGTGCTACTGGTGCTGTTCTTCATGTAGTTGTGGCTGAGCTTGTAATCAAGCATAACAACAAGGAAGCAAGTATAAAAACAAAAAAGCAACGAAAACAGAAGAAACATTACAAAGCAAAGAACCAAAAAAACAGAGAAACAAAAAACATAAAAACACAGAAGCAAAACAGCAGAGAAGCAAAAAAAGCAGAGAAGCAAACAAAGAAGCGTAGAAGTTAGAAGCAAAAAAACAGAACAGCAAGAATACAGAGAAGCAAGGAAAGCAGAAAAGCGGCACAGTACAGAGGAGAGAGGAATCAAAAAAAAAAACTAAACTCCAAAAAAAACAATGCCCAAAGTAAATGGCCCTCCAAGCTTAATCACTACAATTCACTACAAATTTTATTCATCCCTGTTGGTGTTGGGGCCAGCATGGCCAGCATGGCCCAGCCCCGCGCCCCATCGCGGCATCGTCCTCATCGTCCGAAGCCTCGCTGTCGCTGTCGGTGTCCGTGTCGGTGTCCGAGTCGCCCGTGTCCTGATGCTGTGGATTCTGGGAACATCATGGGATGATGATTGGATTGTTGTCATCATATTTGGATTGTCATTTAATATGATAATATGATTCTTGTTCATCCTAAATATCATTTAAAAACATGAGTCTTTTCATGAAATTTAAGAAATTGTATTTCAGTATCATGGGGATGATGAGATTATGATGAGAGTGTGGGATTATTGTTGGATCATTCAAAAAAACAGTTACCCTCTGGTAATTTAACATAGCTATTGAAAATGGACATTTCTAGTGGATTTACCCATGAAAAATGGTGATTTTCCATAGTTATCTTAGTTTACCAGAGGGTAGCATTAGCACGGGTTAGTGAATATTTATAAAATTGAATGGATTATATTCCAGTATGGGGAAGATTCGTGTGGGATGGTCTCTGCTCATCTGTCTGATTATCCTCAATGTTTGACATAAACTCATTTCTGTGGTGTTGTTCCAGCAACCTATTTGACCAGAAAACATTCAGAGATTCACCATCCAAGACAGAGTTTTCCTTTCTTGTCTTTTTTTTTGCATTTCTGGGAAATCAGGTTCTGGTATATCGCTATATCGCTATATCGCTATAGAAATGGGTATGGCTTATATATAAGTCATTGGGCTAGTGATGACCCATTTCATCCTAATTGTTCCATAGATTCTCTGAATTCCGTGTCCAAGATACCGAATCGCCCGTGTCTGTGTCATCCTCCTTTCCTTCAGCCTGCAGAATTCATGCAATGCCTCTGGATATCTGGAGGTATTGTTGAGACATCCAAAGGGTAAAATTGGGTGCGATTTACCCTCTGGTAAACTAACATAACTGTGGAAAATCACCATTTTTAATGGGAAAATCAACTATTTCGACTGGGCCATTTTCAATAGCAAACTGTTAGTCATTCCCAGAGGGTAAAAATGAGTTTGCAGTTTGCCACATTGAACCCGTGTGAGCCGTTGTTCGCAGACTCTCTGGATCTACATGATTTCCAACCTGACCAGTTTTCAGCATCAATTCTGATGATGAATTTGCTCAACAAAAGGCTGCTCCAGCTGCTACATGTCAACCCTGGAGATAGTTTCCCCCTGTAGTATCTGCTGCGACTTCATGAATCTGCAAACTTAGCTAAGATGCAGGGTACGCTTTAGGATCTAGGACACCTCTTATTAAACTGGGGAAGTATCAATTTCGGGGTGGATACAGTAACCTGGACTCGTGATGAAGTCAAATCTTGCGAATTCCAAGAGATACCCTACGTGGTGATTCGATTCCATTCATCGATGATTTTGGCATTGAAACTTGTGACTTTCCATTGCACCTTTGATGGCGATGTGGAATTTCGCCAGTGCGGAACTACTTAAGAACCCTAGGTTCTATGTCCCACCACTGCTCTTATCAGTAACTTTTGGTTTATTTACGGCATGGAGAAACATGATTGCAACTCATTCATGGAGCGAATCCTCGCCATCTAACCAGCCCGGCCAGATCGACCTGCCGCCGAAGCTGTCGTCTGCGCTGCTTGCGTTTCTTCTTCAGCAGCCGTTTCTGTGCCTTCAGACGCCTGGAAAAACGCAGCATTGTGGCTGGTTTTTCATGGAAATCTGCTATAGCAACCTCCGAAAATATAGACTTTGGCAACATCCTACTGAAACAGTGGTAAATCACTTTTCTATCTTCTTGGGCTCAACTCTGGACCACATCAAGGCATTTCGCTAGCCACGCACTATTTGCGGTAGTAATATCTTGTAGTTCAAGGGAAAACAACATGCACAGAAATGTCTTCGCGGAGAATGTGCATAAGAACCCGAGTTAAGTTGTTTATTCAGCATTGGTCCATACCCATCTGTCACTTGGTGAAAGGTTCACCCAAACCCTGAGGCAAGGGATTCCATGTCTGCATGCCTCAAACAACCCAGCAGCTCTTCCAAAACTCACTACCATATCTCAGGATATCCAAACTCAGCAGAATTCATGAAGAAGCTATGTCATGTAATCTTCTCATGTTGTCTATCTCATGTCATGCAAGTCAGATTTTCACTTTTAAAAGGTGGGTCATGTAGTTTCTACGTCTTTCGGGAAATCCACCAATCATTCATAATTCATCAGTGATATCATGTTAGTTAAATCCATTTAAAAACAAAAAAAACAACATATGATGCAAGAAGTCCTAACAAGCCTATATTTTTTCTTCATGTAACTATTCATGGCTCAAATCCTTGCCCAGAAACTCACTTTGTAGTCATTATACTTATATGATGATAATTATATATATAATTGTATCAGTTATTTCAGTTATATGATATAAATAACTGATAGTTATATAATTGTATCAGTTATTTCAGTTATTTCACTTATATATACTTATATATAGTTCTATCTATGGCTATAACATGATGTTGATATTATCATTATAGTCGTTAGATGGGGGTTCCAGAAATGGGGGCACCCAACAATGGATGGTTTATAACTGTTTATAAATACTGGCAAGTCTCATCTAGAGATGGAAAACTGGGGGTACCCCCATGACATTTGGAAATCTCCAAATGTTGATATTCATAAACCATCAAGATCTTGATAGTTATAGATATATACATATATATAGCCATAGAACTTTTTCGTGAACATATCAACATATATCAACATATCAACATCAACCATCAAGATGTTGATGATTCTCATGATCTGATAGCTATGTTCATGATCAGCTATGGTATAGCAGCTATAAACTAATGATCATATGGTAGCCATTATAAATGATCTATAAACCATAGCTACTAGAACACCATCCCATCACCATCCCATCACCGGGGTTTACTTCGTTGATTTACCCATTCAAAATGCTAGAAAAAAATCCATCGTCATTTTTCTTCGCGAACCATAGCTGTAAACCCATCCCATCACCACCATGGTCACAATGGCCATGGCCCACTGGGTTGTCCCAACTCCTTCAGTTTGGCTCGTTCCTCCATCTCTGCGGCCTTCACTCGGCGACGCTCCGCCTCCACCCGCTCCCAGTCCTGGCGGAAGCCGCATGCGCTGGCGCCGTGGCGCCGAAAACGTGGGGAAAAATGGTGGAAGAAACCGGGGGCATTGGAAACCCTAGAAACACCATAGAAAACTCATGAAAAATCTCTGGAAATCTTCAGTGAAATCCATTTTTGTCCAAAAATGGTGGCCAACAAATTGAAGCTTTGCTGGCGAAGTCAAGTTCTTTTCAAATCTTTTCAATGGACCCAGCCTCGATGACCTGCTTGTAATCATCGGGTTGAAAACCGTTCCAACGATCCCTTTTGCCGTCGTAGTCCAGATTCAACTCCTCCGGTCACTGGTTGGATCTCCAAATTTCGCTAAGGGATCCAAGGGAATCCAATTCTGGGTGACTTGACATTCCCTTGGCAAGGATTTCAGTGGAGGCTAACTTCTTGTCATTTCCAAAATCTGCAGAGTCGTGGAGATAAATCCAGCTCACACATCTAGGGGTTTGGTGTAGACGTGCAGAGAAAGCGGTTTTACAACATAAATGAACTTGGCTTTCATGACCATGTTTGTTTCATGTTCACCAAGATGCATCAACACAACGGCCAAATCGGATGATCCCAAGCAAACACAAATTCTTGGATGGCTAAAGACAAGTGTCAGCCTCGGATTAATAAACGACGCGTTCGATAAAACTCGAGGGGGCTTGGATACCCCCTAAAGTTGATTCACATGCTATTAATTGCTATTAGAATGGGAAGGCGGGAACGGGACCCCAAGTCTTAGGAAACTGGATGTGTTTGTGAATCCTGCGTTGACACTATAAGATACCGACTGATGTTTCGAAAAAAAAAACACCCGACGAGAGCGAGATTAGCGCTCCATGATGTACTCGTCTGGCATGAGATTCTTACCATTCTGCTTGGCCGTGATGGCTCTCGGGCGCTCCACACAGTCCTCCACCGAAGCAGACGGAACGTGCAGCCTAAGATGGGGGTTACTAATAAAAATGTAGAGATTACTGCTGAAAATGGAGATGTATAATTAATCAAAAACTGGATGGTTTGCAACTGGAAGGAATCGTTTACTACTGAGTGAAGACTTAAATACCCCTCCGAAGTTGAGGATGGGTCAAAATTGCATGTTTGACTTATGAAAATTTGGGATATCACTTGATATAAGGCACAAAAATGGAGATTAAATCATATCCATTCATATCAAGAACTCCAACCATCTCCAATACTTCCGCCCTAAATGGCCCCTTAAATGGCCCTTAAATGGCCCGGCCTTCTTGGTGTGAGTGGTGGCACCGCAATTTTCACAGGCACCCTTGATGAACTTGGTCTTCACATCACCCTTGGTACCTCGAATGTACCAGTCCCTGGTGCCCATCGACTTGGCATTCCAGGCTTGGTGATGCTTCAAGGACGGCTTGTCTTGGTTCAAATACCAAGGCGCCTGCAACGGAGCTGCTCAATCTCAGGTGAAGTGGAAGTGGAAATGGCAACTGATTTCAAATACGTTTACCCTCTGGTAATTTAACATAACTATGGAAAATCACCATTTTTAATGGGACAATCCACTATTTCTATGGCCATTTTCAATAGCTATGTTAGTTTACCAGAGGGTAAAAAAGTTTGAACGGCTCTCCGGATCTATCAGCTCAAGTGGAGGGGCTGACTTGGATTTGGGGATGCACCGGACCGGGGGTTCCAACGAAAACGGCAAGGGTTGCTTTCCCAACTCCAAAGCTTTACATAAAGGTCTATCTAAAATTTTCGAACTGGCTTCGCGTCAAAAATGGCCAGTGCTAGGCCCCAAAACACCCTAAACCGTTGCACGCCTTTGTGATGAACTCTGGGTTGTGCGGGTTGATCATCTTCCCTGTGAACTCATCTGTCTCAGGTGCGGCCGTGCCCGCAGCTCTCGCCTCGCAATCTCATCCCAGGAGTTGGCGATGTCAGTAGCACGTTTTATACTTCCTAGTGTTTTAACAACTTACTAATTTACAGCATAGTAATTGAGTAATGTTATAGTAATTCAAGGTGATTCAACGTAATTCATAGTGATAGTAATTTAGCAATATATCCAAATTATCCAACCACCAAAAAATGCTCCCAGCTGCGTCCCAAAAGTCGATGGCCTCCTGCAGGGCCTTCTGCTTCTTGGCATCTTCACGGGTGGTGAAGCTATCCGCCACTGCTGAAGACCTGGCTTGGGGAAAATCAATGGATTGGTTTAAGGGAAAATTTTAACCGGAAAGCCCCATAGAAAAAATGGGGAAATCCATGGTTTCCTGCAAATTTTCCCTTAAACCAATCCATTGAGAAAATGAAGGTGTTGAATTTCATATGGAGGTGTCCAAAAAAATTGGGGGTACCTGAGTCATCATCCATTTTAGATTGGGATTTTCAATGGATTTTCTATAAACCATCCAGCGAGCTTGGGGGACCCCTATGACTTTGGACCCCAGATGGTTCTTGTTTCGTTTCATGGGAGACCAGATAACCATCCATTTCCCATCAATTTCCCGTCAGGCGTACGCCATGCTGCCCGGGTTTCCTGCACGACCAAACTGGTGGAATCAAAAACGCTGGTGTTGTGTAACAAGACAAAAAAACATGGAAAATGCGGATTTTATGATAGAAATATATAGAAAATCAAAGCAACTTGATCGTGATTTAGATGTGTGTTTCATGATTGGGTATGACAAAGAAATTCACAAAGCAAACCACAGACCATAGATAGAAGAAATTCTGGTTGATCAGTCGAAGGTGCAATCGTTACCCATTGTCCCAGTGAATGTATCCCACGAAAGCCATAATGTCTTACCCTTGGTACAGGTCCCAACGGGTCCCAACGGGTCCCTTGAAATGGTCACCAAGTTAAAATCCCCGGTGAAATATGGTAACAACATGTCAAAACCCATTTGGGGGCATACCTCATTCTCGGACACACCTATTTGCCTGTTTATCAGGTTTCAATCCCAAATGACTAATGCCAACCCTGGATTAATAAACCCTGGGCCCTAGTTGATTATTTCGGGGGGTCCCCAAAAATAGGGATATATAATTGGCTACTAGAATCCCTGCTATTTTAGCAGAAATGCACCTAAGGGATGTTGCCCTTTTGGTCTTCAGTTTTTTGGTCTTCGGCATGGCCCTTGCAACGTGATGAAGCTGCAACTTTCTAATTTGCTGCTTTCCTTGCTTCCTACCCTCCTTCCTTCCTTCCTTCCAGCCTTGGTTCCTTCCAGCTTCCTTCCTTCCTTCCTTCCTTCCTTCCTTCCTTCCTTCCTTCCTTCCTTCCTTCCTTTCCACTCGAGTAATATTTTTTTTTGATCCTAGTATTTTTTTTGATGCTATTTTTTTGGATGCAGATGCCCTACGTTGTTCTTACTGCTCAAGGAACAAATTGAATAAATGTGGTACACCCAACAACAAACCTCTATCGGGGATGATTTATGTTTTGGCTTTAGCTCATTATAAATCATCAAGATGTTTGTGCACAACAAATCCAACCTGCAACACGGTGCAACAGCTCCTGCGCAAGGCACGCAGAAACCAGCAGCCACTGCACTGGACTTGAGCCAAGGTCCGGTGAAGCTGAGAACGGTCACCCCGCAAAGGTTGCTGGGGTGAAAACGATCCGCACGGAAAATTCCACTGGCAGAACATGCCAAGAAATGTGCAAGGTTTGAATTTATATGCTGAAATCCCACACTCATCGAAGGGAAATTTGAAGACTGGAAGACCAGAATTGAGATAATTGAGTGGCTGACGCAGTCCTCAAAGCTTCAAAGCTGCTTGGAACGCACAAATTCAACAGAAACAGCAATGGATTGCCAGTGTCTTTCCAAGGACCATGGATTGCCGCTTTTTTTCCCCAATGGGATCAGTCTCACGCATCACCATTGTTGCCAAGTACCTCCACGCCAATCTCGGCAGGATTTTAGAGTTGAAATAGGACCGGCCACGTGTGACTTGAACCCCTAACCGGTCACACCGGTCACTGGCGGTCACGGTTCCAAAAAATCCGACGTCTAGTTTCTGAAGCCTAGTTCTGAATGCAGTTGAGTTTCTGAATCCGGCTTTAATCCTACAGAACCACACGTTGTTTGTTAAAATAGTTTTTCAACCAGCTGATTGAAAAGAATCTTGGGGGTGATCAATCTTGTATTTTTTGGTTTCAGCCCCATTTTTCTTGGTCAACGGTTAACCCTCCACTTTTTGGTAGTACCCTTGTGCAAACATACCCAGGGACAATCCCGCTCCGACTGGTGGCCTCGACCAGGCCATGTTGCGAGTATACCCCACTTTCAAACACAGCCATATGGTTAAGGTTGGTTTGAAAAATCCCACTTTGTCCCCAAGAAATCCAAATATTGATGGTCAAATATATACATCTACAGACATATATATGCATATATATATATATTTCTATTATTATCATTATCATCACTATTACTATTATTATTATCATTATTATTAGTGTCATTATTATACATACTAGTATAATTTTAGAAAGTTATACATGTTTATACATATTTATATACATAGTCTTGGTTTTTCCACATGTATGTATATATATATATCCATATATATATATATATCCATATATGTATATATGTTTATATCCATATATTATATATATATATCCACATATATATATATATATATATCCATATAGTAAAATCCCTCCCAAGCGCCGTCGCTTGACGCGCACCGAGGGGAGTAGCCACGGTCGCCGTTCCATGGCCACACAGATCAAGCCGGCGAGTTCCTTCACCGTTCACCGTTCAATGGGGACTCAGCTCCATCTCGGAGTATTTGTTGACGACAACCGACTCAATCCGGATTGACTAGAATGACTGCTTCCTGGTAACTTACTGGTTGGTGGTATGTTTCTACCCCTCTGAAAAATGATGGAGTAAAAGTCAGTTGGGATGATGACATTCCCAATATGATGGGAAAAATAGAAGCCATGTTCCAAACCACCAACCAGTGAAGATTAGGGGAATGGCATGATTTCGCTATTTATGGCTAGGGGTGATAGGTATTTCTATGGCTCAAGGCTATGGCAATTTTCGGGGGAAGCATAAATGAACTTACGGGGGGATTCCTCGTATTTTATTGGAGTATTGGAAGCCAGCAATTCTTGAAACATGGGTTTAAACCTATGGTTTGCACTGAAAATGGAGGTTCAAAACCGACCATTTGATGGGTATTAGGGTTTGATTCATGGGGGTGGATATGAGATAGAATAGGATACGTATATAAAGCCAAGTTAAAATCATACGTGGCTCTGTTTGAACATGCGGCCAGCCCAACATGATTTTTGGTCAAGGGTGATCAATTATGACAGACGATTGGGGGTCGGGGAACTCAGTTTTGAGACATACAGAGAACAGGGATTGGCTTAATAAGCCTAGTATACCAATTATACCCCAGTTACATATGGGATATCCCCAGTTACATATGGGATATCCCCAGTTTTATATGGGATATCCTCAGTTTTTTTTCGGCTTATGGCTCATAAAGCACTGATCCGATGCTTGGGGCCCATCCAATCAACTTCCATCCCCGCCTCATCGCTGATGGCGTTCATCTCAGACAGAATGGCCTCGGTCCATTGTTTTATATTGTTTTAAGCTCGTTCCCAACAGGTTCCCTCAGAATCTTTTGCATCACGAGACTCCATTCTATGATTTTTTTGAGATAGTTCATCTTAGTTCCTCAATGGCTATCTTAGGATATAGCTGATATCTTAGGGGAACTTGGAAATGATTTTTTTGTCCATCTCTTTCCTTTCCCTAAGATATCAACGTTGATATCCTTTCCAATGGATTGATGATGAATAGAACCAACATGAACCAACGTTCCAAAACGGCGATCAAGCCGCCTCCAACTGCGGTTTCACCACGCGGTTCCGGGCTGTTTCCCTGAGGCAACCGTAAAATGGCAAATGGGAAAATGCTGGGAGAAGTCTGAGAGAAGTATGGGATAGTGACAGTGTTGGGATTTGATCATATATCATGGTGGGATAATTGCAATAGTCTCTCATGTACCCTGTTTTTTGGGGGTGATTGTCTTGTACCATCCGCATGTCAAATGGTAGGTTTCTGGGATAGGGCATTGTACCACATCATCTTGTGCATCCCACTTAGTACGAGGCTTAGTAAACGGCTAATGTCACCATTGTCACCCAAATCCCCGTACCCTCCGCTAATCATTTCTAGGTGATTTTTCCATTTCAACTTTGATTACCGGAGGGGCCAAGCCATTGATGGGGCGATATCTGCTTTGCTGTTGGTTGAAATCCAGTGAAAAATGCCCCATTTTTTGTAAATTGAAATCCCCTCAAATCCCCTCAAAAATCCCCCCAACTCGTTGGTTCAACTCCTCATGTTTGTTGCTTAAAATCCAGTAAAACCTATCAGTTTTTTGTTGGTCAAAACATTCTCCAGACTTCGTCTCATGTCCCGATGTCCCGCACCTTGCAGCTTCTGGCGCCTGGATGCAATCGCCAACATCTGATTGGATGATGAAGAAACCCATGGAACGATTGCCGTATGCCGAAGGAGGCTGAAACATGGATTGTCAACTATGAGTTGACCTGATCCCAGGTCCCCGAACAGAGAAGACGCATACCCGTTTTTGGAGCAACCAAAGTCACATGATGATATCTTCTATCAGAGATGTTTGAGAACTGCATCAACACAAAGAGCAATTGAAATTGAGAAGCTCTTGCGGTTTCCCACTTCCCTGGGGTTCCCTGGGGTTCCCTGGGGTTCCCTGGGGTTCAAGGATGTCATCCAATTTTCCAGTGCTTCCCTGCATACCGCTGGGCCGCTGGGGAATGAACATCTTTTTTGGTGGTTTCCGGGGAGATTTCCACGGGAACTTTCGAGGAACTTGGGTAGCCTCCCTGGAAATTTCAAATGACATGCAAGGGAAACCAAGTACTGATGAAACCCAAAAAAAAACAGCCTGTTGGTCAAGGAAGATGCGTGATATTGTGCTCATTTCACTAATAGAACAGAATACATCTGTTTTTCCATACGCATTATAATGCAAATTTTGAATATGTCTTGATGATACACTATCAAAATATGTACATATGTGTATATATATATAATACACATACATAATACACTCTGGTAATTTAACATAGCTATTGAAAATGGCCCAGTCGAAATAGTTGATTTAGCCATTAATAGCATGGTGGATCTTTCCAGTTCGCAAACTGTGACAGTTTACCAGAGGGTAAATCCCATTAAATCCCATTAAATGCCATTAAATGCCATTAAATGCCATTAAATGCCATTAAATGCCATTAAATCCCATTAAAGGTAGTACAGTTCGCAAACTGTGACAGTTTACCAGAGGGTAGTACATGTAGTACATGATGATTTGATCCATTCCCACCTGAAAGGTCCCGCTCTTGTGGCTAGTTCCAGGATTCCAGTCTCCCCTTGGCCCGAAGTCAAGGTCAAAAGGCGCCTTCGGTGGGGGAGTCATCGGCGGAATCTCCTGTCCACACCTGGTAAAAAACAGTGGCACTGTACTTGGATGACTAGAGGACATGGTAGACATCCATGTGTTTATACATATATATATATGTGAACATAAGAGTATGTATGGATGGATGGATGGATGGATGGATGGACGGATGGATGGATGGATGGTTGGATGGATGGATGGATGGATGGACGGATGCATGGATGGATGGATGGATGGATGGATAGATACATAGGCAGATAGATAGGTAGGTAGGTAGATAGGTAGATAGGTTGATAGGATAGGTAGAATACGTAGAATAGGTTGAAAAGGGAGATAAATGGATAGATTTAGATGAATAGATAGATACATGGATAAATAGAAGAACATGTATATATATATATGTGCATACATATATATATATATTTATATTGTTTGTGCTCGTCCCTTTGTAAATTAAATTTCTTATTCAAACAAACGTAAAACTCAAAACGCCACGCAAATCGCTCGAAGGTCGGACATGTATTTAATATTTCTTTTTGTCTTTGCTTATCTTAATTGAGTCGGGGGTGAAACCGCACAAACACAAGTCAAGTGTCTGGTAACTGTTTCAGGTCAACAAGTCATGTCGCCTGTCACCCCCCCACAAGATAAGGGAGGGAAAACGAAGTTTGGGAGGGGATAGAAAAATCGAACGGGTCAAGTGCAACCCACCCTCCACACCCTAGCCAAAATGCGCGGAACATAAAATCAAAATGTTCGCAACAGAGCAAAAGGTGAGAAGACTGACATCAATCTGATCTAAATAAAAAGTGAGAAGTAAAGATCATCCTTCAAACAACAGTGACAGATGTAAATGTCACAACATGATAATAAACAGAAGTTGTTTGGAAACTTCAGTTGGTTTCCAGCATTCAGCCAGGAGCATCTGCCGCCGCACAAGTGCGGAATGGAAAAGGCGTCCAACTACGGAAGTTTCAGCAGATTTCACCGCACTTCCACACATCTTAAAATAGCTTGAACAATTTGAACATGTTTAACATCTTCAACTCTTCACAGGAGGATCAGCTATATTTGCTTGACTCTGAAAGCTGAGCTGAAAACACCGCCAGGCTCACCAACACCGTCAGTTGGTTTTCAGTTCATCAGATTTTTCTTTTTTTTTTGTTACAGGCGGTACGTTCGCAAGCTCACTACTCCCAACAAACAAAGGCCACAACAAGTTGAAGCCAAACGTTTGTGCTCGTCCCTTTGTAAATTAAATTTCTTATTCAAACAAACGTAAAACTCAAAACGCCACGCAAATCGCTCGAAGGTCGGACATGTATTTAATATTTCTTTTTGTCTTTGCTTATCTTAATTGAGTCGGGGGTGAAACCGCACAAACACAAGTCAAGTGTCTGGTAACTGTTTCAGGTCAACAAGTCATGTCGCCTGTCACCCCCGTTTTTTTTTCGACATGTAAAGAGCTTCACTTTCTTGTAACTTCCAAGAGCATTGTTTCAGGCAAGCATATATCGCCTGCAAGGTTTCCTCCCGAGATTGCCTCGTTGTCAACGAAGTACAGTGCTGAAGAATTGGAAAGTTCATTGCGGTAAAAATACCTCACAAGCAAAACTGCAACCAACTCAATTTGACAAATTTTCTGCTGAAGTCCAATAGATGTCCAGTGCTCCATCAGGACTGGTGGGATGGTTCCCCAGTGAATTGCATTAATGCCAAGTTGAGGGATTATGACAACTGCACCCCAGGTTCCATTCCCATTCTCGTACGCACCGTCCGTGTAAATCACTGCCGGACGATCGCTGCTCAGGAAGCGAATTTCTCTTGGTCGCATTCGGTTAATGATCCTGCATGTATCATTGCACAAGCGCGATATGAGCTCTGTATCTGATGAACCTGACTGCAAACTTGCAAACTGTCTGGCGGCAGGCTTCAAACAACGTCCAACCACAAAGCCACCAGCATAATTCAGCAATCCATGCATAGTCGCCGCCTCGGGTGCAGACACAGTACCCTTGGCAGCGTATGATTCAAGCATCTCCAAAATCCTCTGTATCCGACTTGGGCGGTTCGCCACTGTCACTTGTTTGTTCCAAAAGTTCTGCAAGTGGAATGCTACTCCCAACACCTGCATGGTGTCAGAAAAATCAACACTCTTTTTACCAGTCGTAGCATGCTTCCACCCAAGCAAATCCAAAAGGTGCTGCACCACGTTCGTAGTTGTTGCCGCCAAAGGTTCAAACTCAATAACAGGAAAATCATCATAAAATACAGTGGTAAGGAGGTGAAATTTTCGAACCATCAAAGTCCAGATACCGCGCGTGATCTTGTTGAATGCAAAAACGCTGGACGTGGCTCCAAAAGGCAGTGACTTCGATATAAAGAACTTCCATTCGCCAGATTCACTTCGCACTCCCAAAACGCTATGTCTAGCAGACTGAGGAGCAACACTGACCTGCTTGTACGCCTTGCTCAAGTCGATGCCCCTGCCCAGCAGCAAAGGCTTTCGGTCGTAGTCAGGGTGCCTTCGACCAGTGAGGTGGTCACCTGAAGAAAGTTCGATGTCGATATGTGGATCTCCGCAGAAAACACCCAAAGCAAACGCAAGAAAGCAACTGATTACGTCGGTGTCGTGCAGGTCAAGGTGCGACGATGTTCCAAAGGCCGCATTCACTCCCGACGTTTTGTAGTTGTCAATCACTCTAGGTTTAAGGTCTTCACCTTGCAAAAGAAGGAACCGTTGGGACATTGACCAGTCCGCACGCCCAAGCCTTTCTGTTATATCAGACTCCAAAAAGGGACCATCCAGAAAACCAGCAGATACCTCTTTCATAGTTTCTTCCATAAGCAGTTTTGCAAGCCCACGTTCTTCGTCAGTAAAGGCTTTGCCCATAAGGGCTTTTCGTCGCCACAAAGCACTGTGGTCCAACTGTTCGGTTGTCATTGTAGGTGGAGCCCATCGTTGTTTGTACAAAGCGCTTTCGTCTTCCCAGCCAGTCAGGGGAACTCCTTCGCGCATATAGCGCACAACCTCCATGTCTTCGAACCCAACCTGGGTCAGCAGTTTTTCCCAAAGTTCAATGCGTTTTGCCTTGGTCACCTCCGCCACGTTCTTGTCCATTTTGACTTTCGCCAGTTTCTCCGCAAGAGCCAGTCGCTTTGCAATTTCAACACATTCTCCCAGCTTGCTGATGCGGAACAGGGCAACATCTGCCATCGAGTGTGTTGCCACAAAGAAAATAGCTTTCTTCAAATCATCTGGTACACCCTTGTGCGTAAATGCAGGGTGCTGCAATTCTAAAGAACGCTTGAGGTGATCATGATGGTTGAAATAAATGCCAACCTTGTAGCTTTCAGCTGACCTCTCGCTGTCGTCTCCCCCGTGTCCCAAGCGAGCCAAAATTTTGTGTGGCAGTTGAGGGAGTACCGTAGTGACAATAATTTGGGAAAATTCAGGGATCAATTGGTCATGACCTTTGGCTTGAATGGATTGGGCCATTAAAGATTGCAGTCGAAAAAATTTTGAGTTATACTCCAGTGCATTAGCAGCGACCATTGTACTTGCACATTCAGCATATCGATCACAGAACATTGAAGGATATTGAGCTTCCGCTGCAGTAGAAAAAATCCACTTATCAAATCCACTGACAATTGTCCATGGCTCATGGTTGTGGGACTTGTCGCACATAATCCCCAGTGGCTCAAACTGTCGGGTCGACACCAGCAACTTGGTTGACTTGGCACGGTTTCCTCCGTGCATGCAAAAATCAAATTCCACGGGGTGAAAACAAAAATACCACTCAGCAAATTCAGGGCACTTGTGTTCGCGTGCATATTGCTTGACCAGTGTTGCAAGTACTGTCCATAACCACGATCGTAAAGGATTTTCCAGTGTAATGAATGCTCCAACACGAAAAAGTGCATGCAACAAGCGCACAGCATGTCTATAAACAGTATTTGCAGCGTCAACTCTCTGCTGGTTCAGAGTGCTCAAATTTGGCAGGCCAAGTGGATGCAACGCGTCACGGAGTGGCGCAGGTTGAGGTGCTCCTTGAGAGCGTAATGCATGTGCAACCGGCACTTCTCGTGCTCGGCTGCAAGTTCCACACATAAGCCCAAAATGGGCTCCTACCGGCTTCATCTGTTCGATCATGCCTTCAAGGAGTGAAATATTCTCATGCAATGACAAATCCAACTCAAAAATGTGCATCTTGTGTTTGAATCGATCGCACAATAGACAATAGAAAAAATAGATATCAAATGCTTCAACAAAACAAAGAGCAACATGTCAAGAAAGTGATAAGTGCAAACTGCTTTCCAGCTACACAATATTGAAATGGACTTGGGCTTATTGTGCTGAACCATGAGACTATCTTGGTGAGAACACGTTTTGAAACTGTATTAAGTTCTTGTTGATCACAGGCATCAATCTCCATCAAGATAGCCGTGCAGTATTCCGTATTCTTATTTCAACTGCAAGCTCGGCTCGAACTCCTGCAAGGATCGATCTGACCTCGACGTGAATTGGAGGCTTTACATTCCATCTTGTAATGTTTTGATACTGAACTTTCTGAGTCATCCGTTTCCGAGCCTGAATGCGGCCCCAAAAGCATGTCAACAACGTGCAGTTTCTGTGCCGGTGAAACTGAGTGGCTTCAGTCTGCAAACTTTGGAATGCCTGCTCTGGGTACCTGAAAATCCAGCAAAAATAATCAGTTCCTTGCTACAATGCAGCTGGACAAATCATGACTTTATACTGGTTGGTTCGTTCGAGCATAATCCCTTTGAATTCTGTGTCTGGCAGCAGCCGTCTTGGGATCTCATGGCTGAAAAAATCAGTGATGAAAGATCCTCCGACAAACGTCTCCTTGGCCAGTGCCAGGCGTGCATAGACATTGAAGGCCCCAGATGGCTGGTGAAACGGCCCCATGTTTGATTTTCGGGCAGCAACAACAAAATGGTTGCTGCCACTGTGAAATCTGTTGTCTCGTACAACTTTTGGGTTGTCAGATCGGTTAACAGAAAAAATTTGTCCTTCTGCTGCTAGGATCACGAAGAACTGTCCTCTGTGAAATGTGCTGCGACACCAGGGGACCTTGGGGAAAAATGGAACAGCTGCTCAAGGCAACAGCGAGACGCAAAAATGACTGTCATGTCTTGTGTCTGCCAAGATTGACTACGTTCCTTTCCATTCCACACAACTCGTTTCCATTGATCTGAATGCAAAGAGCTGTCGAAGAGCGTATAAAAAGTTGGCGCCAACTTGATGGTCAGTCACAGTTGCGAAGTCTTGATGGCATCATTACAAATGAAACAGTTCGCAACCTGGAGGGTCTACCACCAAGTTGCAAGTCGACTAATAAGTGTTTCAATGGAGACCTCACGCGCAGGTCCAAAGGTGGTTTTCGGTAACTGCAATGGGGAAATATCCGCCAAGTGCATTTTGGAGTCAAAAAACTGCCCCATGATTTTCAACCATCAATTGACGGGGTAGATCTGTTGAAAATGTTGACTTAATTTGGCAAAAAAAACAATCCATTGCATTCAAAAAGTACCCCATGTCAAAAAAAATCAATATGAAAGGTATGCCTTCGTTTTAAAAGAACACCAGCATTACAATGCGCGGTCCTCCTGGGGATTTTTTCCCGTTGCACATGCCATAAAATTGCAAATCATGAATCTCAAGCCATGTCGAGATTGGTGTGATGCACATCCAAGGTTTCAGAGTTTAGGCTTAGGCATCAGGTTTTAAGGTGTTCCTTTGCTTTTCCATGGTTTTGAAGGTTTAATAGGGTGTGGGTTTAATTTCTCTGTTTTCCGTTGGCCGTTATGTTCAGGATGACCCATGCACATGTCCCCTACCTGAGTTGTTCAGGAATGAAAAGAATGAACTATTTACTGGGTCTTGAGGGTGCCTTTGGCTTGAGTTGTTTGGCCGTACCTTTTCTCATCCCATTGACGCGCAATCCAAGTTACTCAAGCGTTCGCTCCAAGCCTTCGCAACTCTTGAACCACATGGGTTTTGCTCCAATCCTCGCACAGCGATGCATCAGCGAATCATTCCAACCATGGACATTTCCCTCTGATGGTTGTAGATGTAAAAACCAGCAAGCTCTACCAGTTTTTGGAAACAAAATTTGAAAAACATATCTTTTCAATTCAACCAATGATCATGATCATCTGTTTTATTTTCACGTTGTTTGATGCCTTTTTTCACCGCGTTTTGAGACTGCTTCATCTCCCAGTCATGCATCTCACGCGTGCAACTCCCGACGACCTGTGCAATTCAGCACATGCTGTCAGTGACATTGAAATTTTTCAGTTGTGGCCACATCCACTCAACTGTTTCAGCCAAGTTCCATCAGCCCGTGCCTTGGCTGTGGGCACCATGAAGCGTCCAGTCTGGTTTCAACGTCATCTGGTCTGACCAAACATTGCAGCGAGTGATATTTTTCCTCAATTTGCTGCTCTGCAAATTCTTTTCCTCTATCCAAACAAAGGACTGAAATGTGAATCTTGTCCAAAACATGATCATTCAAAGCATTTGGAAGTTGTACGTGTTCCCAGTCCATGTCGCTCTGGCCTCCATTTGTCCCCTTGCGAAACAGGCCACTGTATGCGTCAGCACCAGCTGCATCTGGTAAATCGCCCAAACTGTGTGAATCACGCACAAGTACCATGAAAACAAAACACTTGCAAATCCAGGCAGTGTTTGTTCAAATGAAAACTGAAAGTTCTGTCAGAGAATGCACGTCCCGTAAAATCAAGATCTTCCAAAATTCTGTCAGGCATCCATGGCGATATGGAAAAATCGGATAGAAAAATCGAACGGGTCAAGTGCAACCCACCCTCCACACCCTAGCCAAAATTGCGCGGGACATAAAATCAAAATGTTCGCAACAGAGCAAAAGGTGAGAAGACTGACATCAATCTGATCTAAATAAAAAGTGAGAAGTAAAGATCATCCTTCAAACAACAGTGACAGATGTAAATGTCAAACATGATAATAAACAGAAGTTGTTTGGAAACTTCAGTTGGTTTCCAGCATTCAGCCAGGAGCATCTGCCGCCGCACAAGCGCGGAATGGAAAAGGCGTCCAACTACGGAAGTTTCAGCAGATTTCACCGCACTTCCACACATCTTAAAATAGCTTGAACCATTTGAACATGTTTAACATCTTCAACTCTTCACAGGAGGATCAGCTATATTTGCTTGACTCTGAAAGCTGAGCTGAAAACACCGCCAGGCTCACCAACACCGTCAGTTGGTTTTCAGTTCATCAGATTTTTCTTTTTTTTTTTGTTACAGGCGGTACGTTCGCAAGCTCACTACTCCCAACAAACAAAGGCCACAACAAGTTGAAGCCAAACATATTATATTATATTATTATATTATATTATATTATATTATACATATATATATATTATATATATAATACGTATATACAGTGCATTCTCAACAGTGGTGCTGAGTCAACTTTGTCAACGACTGTGCCCTCTGGGAACAGTTGAGATCCCCCAACTGGATGTCAGAGCCCAATCTTTTTGACCGGAACATATGGCTATGGAACATCTGTCAATCACTGGAATTTATGGATGTTGATCCCCCAACTGAGATGGATTTTGGCTATGGCAATGTGATCATCAATGTATACCTGTATATCCGTCAAAGGGTTTCTATTGATCATAGCCTCCATAGCCAAATGAGCAATTTCTTGAACCCTGCTGCTAGCTGAAGCTTCTGGTCTGGCAGAAGCTTCAAGTCCCAAATCAGGACTTTCCTGGAGGAGTCATCACAAGGAGTTAGGGCTCGTGATGATGGTGATTATTGTTATTGTTATTATTATCATGATAATGATGAGGAATAGGAGGACGATTATTATGATTGTGATGATGATTATTATTATTATCATGATTCTTAATTTGATTCTGATGATGCTGGATGATGGATGATGGTTATTAAGGTTATTAACCGCCTGAAAATCAAGTCACTTGACGCACCCTGAGCTTTTCACAACCGTAGATTTAAAGGGTCCCAATGGGTCCCACCTTTTCCGGATGTGGATGGTGAGCTCGGTCTTGAACTTCAACTCCTGGTCTCTTGGATCTCTTGGATCCCACCATGGATTTTCGTCACAAAAAAATCACCCAACTTATGGGTCTCACCCAGATGGGTCCTTGATCATAGCCACGGTGTCTCCAGAGACGCTATTCACCTCACACCATGTGAAACTGGGGTATGGGCCCCATATTAGGACTTTTTCAATCGGAGACTTCATAGTGTTGCCAGATGATAAAGAAATCAATTGCAGCAGAAGAACACCCTGGCAACAACCCAGCTGACCCAATCAACCTGCCCTGCCAGCACTGACTCAGTCAGCCGGAAGCCTGAAAAATGAAGTCGCCCGCACAGATGTGCTTGAAGGGATCATTCTTGGAATTCCAATCAGCAACCAGGCCGTCCTGGCAGCCGGGCAGCAGACCCACAAAAAACGATGGGAAAAAAATGGGCGATAAAAACAGCACCTCGAAGACCTTGGTGATAAAGACTCCATCCCTTGGAACAGATTGCTGCGGTGAGCTGTGGCTGAAACATGGCTGCAAGTTCTACAGGAAAATGATCATTAAATTTGGGGATATTTGGGGTCACCCTATTTTTAGTTTGAACCTCTTTGAAGCCACGTTCACTTTGCAACTCACAAATTTCTTGGAAAGTCAAGAAAATCTCGCAGTCTGTCTGGATCTTGCATACTGTAATCATCTTGCTTCCTTAGCAGAGTCTTCTTGTGTCCCCCTTCATTCTTCAAACCCATGCTCAACTGTTTCAAACACAGCTGCTATGGGCACTAAATATATATTGAAAAAAAAACATCCAACTTAGACCCTCACCATCAGAGTTCCATTCTTATCATTCCAATGAAAATGGCATCCATCAACTGAGCCTCATCATTCCAGGCCTTTTTAAAATCAGGGCCAGGTCACCAGGTCACCTCCCCCCGTTCCATAAATGTTCCCTTTATCCAAGTCGGGAGTCTTGCCTTTCTCCCAGGCGCCAAGAAACCCTGTCCAAGATCTGTAGGTGACATCGACACCCAGGTTGGATGAGGGGGTTCTGCTGATGACCTCAGGTTCTGTTTAGATCCCCTGGAAATCTGCGATCTAAACCGAAACCCAACTCCCAGAAATGAATGGAGTAGGGGTCTCAGAGCCCCACATCCGTGCTGGATATGTTTGTATACATGCATACGTTGGCATTTAGGTATATATATATATATATATAATATATATATACACACAAAGTATTCAAGAGAAGAAAAACGCCTGAAAGCGTTTGGTACAGCCATGTGAGAAAAATAGAGCAAGAACTAGCTGCCTAGCTGCATCCCTTGAGGCAATAAATCTCCAAAGATGGACCGATGGACCCCATCAATCCCAGGAATACAACGGCAGCCACTGCGTCACTGCGTGTTGTGGCCACGGATTGGTTCCTGCATTTGGTGGAATTTCCCCAACATGACAATCATGGTCCCTTTCCACTAATGAACACCCCAAAACGGGATACCCCCCAATCCAAAGTATGATCGTCATATTTTTCATTGTTTCATGGCCATGACCTGCAGCCAAAGTTCCCCTTTTGTTAGCCAAACTCACGCAGACCAAATATGTCCAAATATCAAAGTTAGAATTCTCTTGCCAACCTTATTCGTGCTGAACCCCCTATTCCAAATTCAATAATCCGTTGTACATCCCATATTATATAGCCACTACATCCCAATTTTATATCCCCATTATATCCGCATTTTTAAAAATATATATATATATATGCTGAAGTCGTTGGTCGCCAAATGTTCATCGCCCAAGCTGCAGCAGTGAAGCATTGCCCTTCTTCTGTCATCGAAACTGTCGTGTGCGTAGCACAGGCTAATGGGATGGGAGTTGCCAAAGCGACCACTTAAAGGTGACCCGATGCACTTGGGGTATACAGTGGGAAATAATCATTGGCTTTTAATGAATTAGTAGTTCTTTTCAGGATTGACTTTATGGCAGTTTGAAAATGGGGAAGATTATAATAACCCAGAGTACACCCAATTTTGAGACAAAACCATATGGTTAACCTTAGGATACCCCTCAAATCAAAATCGTGAACGTTACTTGAGTCCCGCAGCCACAACCTGACCCATGTTCACCAGTCAGACCAAGGTTGGCAAAATGTTACTAGTTTTTCAGGGGGTTGGAGGAATTTCCAAATATGTGATACTGTGAAAGCCGGTGAAAATGCTGAAATCTGTGATAAATAATACATGTTTTTTCTATGTTTTTTCTTATCATTCAGGAGTCAGGTTCATTTTCGACAGCTTCAAAATACTAAACTACTCTTGCGAGGATAATCCCACAAATGGTGAGCGGTGATTTTTTTTTTGCCTAGTTATAGAGTAAGTCCCCATTTCATGAGACTATCCCATTTATAAATGGCTTAAAATCACTATGGCAGTCACTATGGCAGTCACTATGGTTACTATATACATTTTCAATTCCTGGGATGATCCTCCACATATGGAGAAAAAAAATCACGCATCTTCCTGGCTGGAAGAACGCCGCAAATCAAGGAAGTCATCCGCGGAAAGCAGCTAGGATTCCATCGAAACGAGTTTTTGCCCAATCGAAATCCCAAAATCAAACTACGTACTACCTGAAACTAACTCATAATAGTATGGTATGAAGAAAAAAGACTCAATTCAACCTCAAACTTTGAGAGAACTTGCTGAAACCAAGAAAGGCTTAGGTCACCCCATCTGGAATCAATAAACACCAGCAATCACTCAACAAGACATGTCCACAAGATCTTCTTCAAGATGTCCTGGCTTGCCCAAATTCAAAATGTCAACAGAGCGTGGCTCAGGTCAAAACATGCCCGGGCGAACATCATCGACGAAGAAGCAGGGCCCAGTTTGTCCTAAATCCAGCAGAAATCTGGTCTTTGTATGTCTTTGTGGTTTCCGCTGTCTATGTTTTCAGATTAGTAGCCTTGAATGCGTTGGCTAGAAATGTTGGTGGCCTGTTCGCATCAAGAGGCTTGGTGCTGAATGAAATATCACCTTGATGCAATCCGCTGCGTTCTTGAGCCACTTGCACTGCAAATACGGACACTGTAGTTTGGTTTCCATTTGTCAGAACAAAATTTGATGCAACAAAAAACTGCCTGCATCAAATCGTCACAATAGACAATAGATTTCAATAGATATCAAATGCTATCAACAAAACAAACCTACAACATGTCAAGAAAGTGATAAGTGCAATGCCACTGCTTTCCATTCCCTGCTACATTTCCAATATTGAAATGGACTACTGGAGCTTATTGAAAACAATGCTCCCGGAACCATTCTGAAACAACTCAGACTATCTTGGTTCACTCAAAGATCATCTTCCTGTTAAAATTCGACACGTTTTGAAACTCGGTACAAAAGCAAGCTCTCTCTTAAGTTCAGATATTTGCCCAAACTGGGACTGATCACAGAATTTGACAAATATACTCTCTTATATTCTCTTATCATCAAACAATCTCCATCAAGATAGCCGTTTTATGCAGTTTTGCTGTATTCCGTATTCTCGATCAAGGCCATTTCAAGGTCGGCTGCATTTTCTGCTTAGCTCGGCTCGAACTCCTGCAACTTGGGGATCGATCATTGGTTGACCTACGTTGACGTCACCAAGAATTGGAGGCCTTTACATTCAAAATTGAGATATGTTGAAGATATGTTGAAGATATGTTGAAGATATGACATCATAAAAGATGGATGAAATTCACTCAAAAAAACGAATTAATGTTTTGATACTGAACTTTCTGAGTCTATTGGTATCCGTTTCCGAGCCTGAGCCATGCGGTACCCGTTTGATGATTCCAAGGGCAAAAGCATTCTGTGTGCGGTCAATGTCAAGCTCGGAGAAATGACATACCTTCTCAGTTTCTGTGCCGGTGAAACTTGAAAGAAATTGAAAGAAAGAGAAAACGACAACAGGTAAAAAGTGGCTTCAGTCTAAAGAAAGGCACGGCAAAGAGCCACCCGCCCGTTCCCTATCAAACTTTGGAATGCAGGGACTGCTCAAATGGTTTTGTTTAAAATTGGGTACCTGAAAATCCACGGGCAAAAATAATCAGTTCCTTGCTACAATGCAATTTTTGAGATAAATCCTCCATTTCTGGACAAACCCTCTGTCATGACTTTATACTGGTTGGTTCATGGGGGGTTCGAGAATGGGTTATGAGTTATCATAATCCCTTTGAATTCAAATGTGTCGAAAAATAGGCAACCCCTTTCCATTCACCAATTCAAGCCTCATATTTTCACATCATTTCCCATCCCCCTGATGTTGAATACCCCGACCCCTGGTTGAGTCTTGGGATCTCATGGGCGGTGGCTGAAAAAATCAGTGATGAAAGACACCTTCTCCACCCAAATCCTCCGACAAACGTCGAACTCCTTGGCCAGTGCCAGGCGTCGCGCGGCCCGCGCATCCAAGACATTGAAGGCCAGGAAGGCCAGTTTCCCATCCTTTCCATGGCGAAAAATGGGGGAGAAAATGCCACGGTGAAACGGCCCTTTTGGTACATGTTTGGAGGAAAGAACAAACATTTTCGGGAACCCCAGGTTTTGGATGTGTTTCATTATTTTTCAACAACAAAATGGTTGCTGCCACTGTCCAATGCAATTTCAACCAAATCTGTTGGCAGGGTCTCGTACAACTTTTGGGTTGTCAAAGGCAGATCGGTTAACAGAAAAAATTTGTCAAACTTCTGCAAGTTCTTCTCCTGCTAGGTACATTTTCACGAAGAACTGCCGACCGTCCTCTGTGAAATGTGCTGCGACACCAGGGGACCTTGGGGAAAAATGGAACAGCTGCTCAAGGACAACAGCGAGACGCAACCAATGCAACCATCCTATCACTGATTCACCATCCTCCATCATGTCTTCACCGTGTCTGATGTGCCAAGATTGAAACCCACACTATTTTCAAGATTTGTTCCTTTCCATTCCACACAATTTCGTTTGGCAACCATTGATCAGGAATGTCTCCTTAAAAAATACTTCACCTTCCAACAACAAATGAGCAATTGGGTTTGTCTGAAGATTGGATACCCCGTATTAAAAAGTTGGTTTCTCATCCCTTTCCCCCATTCAAAAATGGCCATACTTCGGGGTCAACACCACAACCCTATGGTAGCTTCACAGTTTGCGAAGTGGAAAATCAACATCTTAAATAGAGGCAAATCATGTACAAATGAATCCAGTTTTCCAGTTCGCAACCTGTTCAATTACCCGAGGGTCTACCATTTCCAGGACAAGTTGCAAGTCGACTACCGAGGCCGTAAGTGTCGCACTGAACACCAAACGAACCTCATCTCCCAGTTTGATGGACCTCACGTTGCTAGGTCCAAAGGTGGTTTTGGTAACTGAAAATGGGGTAAATAGACCGCCAAGTGCCATTTTGATGGGGAAAAAACTGGTTTTCAATTTTCAACCATCAAATTTACGGGGTAGATCTGTCTGAAAATGTTGCCTTAATTTGGCAAAAAAAACAATCCATTGCATTCAAAAAGTACCCCATGTCAAAAAAAACAATATGAAAGGTATGCCACGTTTTAAAAGAACACCCATTACAATGCGCATCCCGTTCCAACCTGGGGATTTTTTCCCGTAATTACAGAATATAAATATTGCAAATCATGAATCATCGAAGCCAGTCGAGATTGGTGTGATGCACATCCAAGGTTTCAGAGTTTAGGCTTAGGTGTTCAGGTTTTAAGGTGTTCCTTTATTTTTCCATGGTTTTGAAGGTTTAATTAGGGTGTGGGTTTAATGTTCTGAGGTTTTAGGCCGTTAGGCCGTTAGGGTTCAGGATGACCCATGCACAGGTCCCCTACCTGAGTTGTTCAGGAATGAAAAGAATGACCCACTATTTACTGGGTCTTGAGGGTGCCTTTGGCAAATTGAGTTGTTTGGCCGTACCTTTTCTCATCCCATTGACGCGCAATCCAAGTTACTCAGCGTTCGCTCCAAGCCTTCGCAACTCTTGAACCACATGGGTTTTGCTCCAATCCTCCACAGCGATGCATCAGCGAATCATTCCAACCATGGACATGTTCCCTCTGATGGTTGTAGATGTATTGAACTGTGCAAGAAAATACTGGTTTTTGGTAACACAAATTTGGAACTACATCCACATCATCATCATCATCATCACCACCATGATCATAAACCTTAGATCCATATTTTCCACAAAGTTTGATGGCCCGTTTTCACCGCGTTTTGGGTATGCCTCGATCTCCCAGTCAGCATCGTCGTCGCGCCCCTCCAACTCCTCGACGAAAACCTGTGACAACTCCTCAGTCCACATCTGACGCAAATTTTACCAGGCTGGCCAGGGAAAACTCCAAAAGTTTCAGCCAAGTTTCAGCCACTGACACCTTCAGGGGAACCATAGATTGACAACATAGCCAAGTTGACGCTTCGAAAAAAAATGGGGTACATTATGGGATTTGAGATTTTTTTCCAATGATTCAGTCCATGTGTATCTGTCCATTCTCCCCAGCTGCAAAAGAACCATCTCATCTTGCATTGCCCACTTGTCCTCGCTAGTTTATTTCAGAATTTCAGCGCACCTGCCGTGCAGTTCCCTCTGCAACTGCCATCTTTGGGCAAACGGGTGAACGCACAAAAATTGAAGGACGGCGATGTCAAATTTGTATGCCGTATATTGTGGAAGGAATATTCAAAGGCGTCTGAACATGACAAGTTGTCGATAAAAATTAAATGTTGTTTGGTGGTTCGCGGTTTGTTTTTTTATCAAGATACTCTGTATGTTTTCACACAGTCGTGAAACTGACCCAACATGTTTGGATGGCGGTGGATCTAAAACTGTTTATTCTGCCTTGAAAGGAAACGCTTCAAGATGACATAGAATGAATTGCCAGTATGACATGCACATGGATGCAAATTGTAGCCAACATGTAGTGGTATGTGAATGGCCGTAAAACACTTGCACCCCGCTTTGCCAAACCGTTGGCGAACAGGATTTGGCACTTCATTTTGAATCCAAAGCGCATACATACATACATGCATACATACATACATACAGACATACATACATACATTACATACATACATTACATACATGAATACATTACATACATACATACATACATACATACATACATACATACATACATACATACATACATACATACATAACATACATACATACATACATGCATGCATACATACATACATACATACATCATTACATTACATTACATTACATTACATTACATTACATTAATACATACATACATACATACATACATTACATACATACATACATACATACATACATACATACATACATACATACATACATACATACATACATACATACATTACATACATGCATACATACATACAGACAGACATACATTACATACATACATACATACATACATACAAACATACATACATACATACATACATACATACATTACATACATTACATACATTACATACATTACATACATTACATACATTACATACATTACATACATTACATTCATTACATACATTACATACATTACATACATTACATACAGTACATACATTACATACATACATACATACATACATACATACATACATACATACATACATACATTACATTACATTACATTACATTACATTACATTACATTACATTACATACATACATACATACATTACATACATACATGCATACATACAGACAGACATACATTACATACATACATACATACATACATACATACATACATACATACATTACATACATACATACAGACATACATACATACATTACATACATTACATACATCACATACATTACATACATTACATACATTACATACATTACATACATTACATACATTACATTACATTACATTACATTACATTACATTACATACATACATACATACATTACATACATGCATACATGCATACATGCATACATGCATACATACATACATACATTACATACATGAATACATACATACATACAGACATACATACATACATACAGACATACATACATACATTACATACAGACATACATACATACATTACATACATACATACAGACATACATACATACATACATACATGCATGCATACATACATACATACATACATCATTACATTACATTACATTACATTACATTACATTACATTACATTAATACATACATACATACATACATACATTACATACATACATACATACATACATACATACATACATACATGCAGACATACATACATACATACATTACATACATACATACATGCATACATGCATACATGCATACATACATACAGACAGATGGACATACATACATACATTACATACATACATACATACATACATGCGTACATACATACATACATACAGACAGACAGACATACAGACATACATACATACATACATGCATACATGCATACATGCATACATACATACATTACATACATGAATACATTACATACATACATACATGCATGCATACATACAGACATACATACATACATTACACACAGACATACATACATACATTACATACATACATACATACAGACATTACATACAGACATACATACATACATTACATACATACATACATACATACATGCATACATACATAAATACATACAGACAGACATACATACATTACATACATACATACAGACATACATACATACATGCATACATGCATACATACATACATGCATAATGCATACATACATACATACATACATACATCATTACATTACATTACATTACATTACATTACATTACATTACATTACATTAATACATACATACATACATACATACATAGACATACAGACAGACAGACAGACATACATACATACATTACATACATACATACATACATGCATACATACATACATATGTATATATGTATATTTATTTATATAATGAAATGGTGGTTTTCTGAAAGGGCGCGTACTCTCAAATTTTCTTCGAAATGGTTTCCGTTGCTTCAATTTCCCAACTATAAATTATATAGATCCTACGATATACATCCAACACAGAAGAGCTTCCGCAAAAGATGCATAATGTTTTTAAGCGTGGTGCAAAGAGTGAGTGATCAGGTCTATAACTGTACACGCCCACTAGAACCAGCGGGTCCAATACTATCGGGTGACACGTTTTCATTGGTAAGAATCCGGGTGAAATTTGAAGCTATTTTCATCGCTTTGTTATTTCCCTGAACCTCTTTTTGTTTCCCAGAGTTCTTGACCCTGAACGTCTTTTTGTTTCCGGGGTTTCTGATTTATGTCCCTCAATCGCGTATTTATGTCCCCAGGTGCCTTGTTTATTTCCTTGAGTCCCATATTCATTTCCCAGAGCTCCTTATTGAGCTGCTGGAGCGCTTCGAGTTCCTTGCTCGCTGCCCTGAATTCATGATGTATTTCCATGCATGCTCTATTTGGACTATTGCGCTCACTTCGCTGTTTATTTCCTTGCGTTCTTGTTGTTTCCTGTGCTCCTTATTTGTTTCTTGCATCGTTCATTTATATCCGGAAATTCATGATTTATTTCCCCGAACCGCTACTTTATTGTCAGTGTTTTCCATATTGATTTTCCCGAATTCTTTTCTTTCCCATATCCCCGGGCTTCTTTCAAGGTTCTGAATTTCTCTGCATATTTCCCTGAATTTCGTCGGCTCCTTTATTTCCTTGTTTATTTCGATAGGTTCGTTTTTATTTGTTTGTTTCTGTGAATTTTGATTTGTTTCTCTGAGTCTGAGCCCCTTGTATTTTCTTCCCTAGCAAAGACACATCAAGTAGTTAAGTTGAAGCGCCGCCCTCAATGATGACAAAATGCGTTTGTTGGATATGTAAATTGGAGAGAAGCTTTGAAACATATACATTACTTACTTGCCATCATTGAGAGCAGCATTTTCGTTCGTTCACTTGTTGCTTCTTTGGTTGTTAGCCATCATTGAAGGCGGCGGTGTCACTTAATTACTTACTGTTCGTCTGCTTCGTGTTGCAAAGAAGTCCGTAGCCCATGTTTTTTATTTACATTGCATGGACATATCGTGAAGCTGGTAACGGCTTCAAATTTCACCCGGATTCTTACCAATGAAAACGTGTCACCCGATAGTAGTTGCAGTTGCCGTACGCTGGTGCTGTGCACCACAATGCTAAAAAGCTTTCCCAGACCTAGTTTTTTAGATTGCACCAGGGCAGCGTAAAGCCGTTAAATCGTAAAGTTCAATTTTCTTCAAAAAAGCTCTTTGATGTTTTAAAAAAATCCCAACTTTACCACTTTATGATTTTATGATTTAATGATGCGATTTTCAATCTAAAATGTAAAACCAACGGTAATTGAGAGAGGGCGGAATTTAAAAATAGCCCCGAACTTTTTCGCAAGACTAGGAAGGGTGTTTTGGGCTTGTTCCCACTTCATCCTTTTCCAATGGATGAAAATTTTATCTAAGTATTTCGCTGGTTTTGATCTTGGGGTCTTGAGGAACGCCGATTTGAACTGGTTCATCAGTGCTGAAGAACAAAAGTGACGGCGCCCACCATCAAAAAGAACATTTATTGAAGTGTGCTTTCAAGGTTTTTCCTGGTTACGGTTTTTCTGTTCAAAGTATTTTAGGGAAGCTGCTTTATCTGAAGGCACGATTGCCTGCCAGCAGTGACGACGACAACGTTTTCTTAAACTCCGCGCGTATGCGACTGCAGCGTAGCAATGAGAAAACAAAGGCTATTGGGTAGACTTTGCGCTGCTTGCCGGTGAATGCCTGATGCCATTTTCTGCTTCCATTTTTGGTTGCGCTTCTGCTTCTGTCGAATTTTCAATAGATGAAGCCACATTTTGCTTCATTTTCAACACCACCGCTTGGCTTCAAACATGTCATTGACTATGAAAAAATTCCGCAGTTTGGGAGCATGTCTGTCATGAAGGTTTCCAGCGCAAGAAGCAACCAGTGGTGGTTCTTGACATGTCCCAAGGTGATAGCACATGCAAATCGATTGATGGATGCTGCCTGTCGTCCATCTTGTCCTGTTTATCAACATCCATGTGCGAAAATCCAACAGGACCTAATTACAACCACTAGTCGCGCTCCTAACGTCGCAAGGGTCGGCTTAACTCCGCGTCGAGCGTTTAACAAGTTAAAACCCAAAAACACGACGGCTGTCACTGCAAAACTCAATTCCCTTTTCCACACAGGAAACACAAAGCAAGGTAAATTGTCTGTCATGCACATGCAGCATGTTATAGTTGGACTTCTTCTGTTTCAGCTGCTTTGCCTTTGCAACATGCAACGGCGGCGGTTGACAAACATCATCAACATGTTGGTGAATTCATTGATGATGAATTCACCATCTTTCCAAAAATAAATCAGCTTCACTTCCATCTTCTCTTCAAACGCACTGTTTGCACAAATTCCAAAAACATCCAAACTGTTGGCAAAAATAGTTGGCAGCTTCCGAAATTAAAACGCATCATGCAGAAAACAAATCCAGTCAAGGTTGTGGTTGAAAACGCATGCACATGTGTTTGAAAAACAACGTTGAGCTTGTCCAAAAAGTCGTCCATACCAAAATCATCTCCAAATTCATTTGCACTCCAGAAAACCTCGTTGCAAATGAATTTCAGTTCC